CTTCAGCAATTCCACCAACTGCGTTACCTGCTTGTGCTCCCATCGCCGGATTACCTGCTTTAGCACCTAATACTCCTCCTATGATAGTTCCTGCCGTTTTCGCTACTGGTGCCAAAAAGTTTGCAACGGGTTTAATAATCTTTTGATGAACCCAACTTGCAGCTTTCTTAATTCCTTCCCATAATTTTTTAAAGAATCCTGCAGCCATCTCTGATTTAATATTAATTAAAAAATATATTTCATCACTTATATTCTAATTTTTTATTTAATGATAAATGAAACCGATTTTAAAAATAAATGAAACAAAGGAGGAAGAAATAAATGAAAGTGAAAATGTTCAACAAAAAATAAACGTTGTTAAACCAATTACTGAAATAAAAATTTTTTCATCTGTTGAAGAATTTAATGACTATTATGCTAATAATAAAAAATTATTTGAAGAATTGACAACATGTAAATTGAATAAAATGTTTAAAGTTGAGGACAGAGTCCAAGACCCAGAGGGTCATGGATTCAAAATTTCAAAAATAAAAGGTGTTGTTAGTTTAAAATCTATTCCTCAATCAAGAATCACCTCATTAATGAAAATTGATGATTTAACAAAAAGAATAGAAATTATTGAAGAAAGAATGAATCAAATAATTGATTTCATAAATTCAAATAATCATTAGTTTCTTAAAGTTCTATGTTGATTCTGAGACATGAATTTTTAAAGTTTATTTTTTATTTTTTTTATTTTTTTATTTCATTATGGTAGTGAATCTTTCATTCATGAATGATAATTATATCTAATTTCTTTTACTCTCTCGTATATACTAGATTTAAAGAATTCAGAACTTTTACCATAATCTCCTAAATGTTTTCTAATCTTATCGGTTTTCCATTCATTATATGAAACTGTATAAACTTTATCTTTATCTTTACACCTTTCATCACTTCCAATATATTTATATCTCAGTTTTGATTTAGTATTTTCATAATCATTAACGTTTAATAATTCACAATCTTCCTTTTTAAATAAATGTTTCACATATTCAGGATTTATCATTCTGTAATATTGTTTTCCTTTAAATCTTTGAATGTAAACAGGAACACCATCCTCTAAAATTCTATTATCCACTTTATCTGGTTTTACTTGTTGGGTCATTTATGTAAGAATAAAAAAATAAATTATTTTAAAATTAATGTTAAAAATTAATGTGTTTATTTTTTTAAAAAAATTATTTTTTATTTCATTATGTATGGGCTGAGTGTAAATGTCTTACAATTTTGAAAATTTTTTAAATCTTGATTTATTCAAAAACGTAAGAATAAAAACCGTAAGAATTCATACATTTTTTACTTCATATGTTAAAAAAAATGATACAAAATCGTTCAATATTGTATGAATTCTTACGTTTACAAAAAAAGTCACAAAACCCATCAATATATACTACTTTCAGTATATATTCTAATAAATTTTCTTGATTTATTCCTTTAAACTCATATTCATTTCAATTTCTCATCACATAAGTTATACATTCATTATAGTTAAAACTTTTCAAATCCTTCCAATGGAATTTTTATCAAATAATTTCGCTCAATTCCAAGTTTGAAATCATCGATATTGGAGAATAATACTTGTCCTAATCTTTATTGAGTTTTCCACTAAGCTATTCAAGTCTTATGGCTAATATATCTTCAAAATTATTATTTATTATATGTCTTGGCATAAATAGACACCATTTCCTAATATAAAATCGTTTAAAATTCATTTCCACTCAAATCTAGTTAAATTTATTATAATATTATTATCAATATAATTCCTTTACTCATAAATCACTCATTATCTCACACATATGATATAAGCTGAGCTAGTATAATCTAAATTTTTCATTATTACTCCTTGAATCAATCTGCATGGGGAACCCTGAGTGACTTCTAATATTTTAGATTTTATATTTTGGAATTTGGAGATATTCGCCGTTATTTCTCCAAACGAGATCGTTAATTTATTCTCTAATGTTACATATTAAGTTCTGTCAAAATGTAAGCTATTGAATTTTTTGAGAGGGAAATAATCGTCGAGGAAGTAAAAAGTGACGCTTTAGGAAATATTATTAGAAATATGATAATAAATATATTTGGAAAAAATATGTTTTTTTCAAAAATTGAAATGTTCATAGAATATTTTGAAATATGTAGGGAATTAAATTCGGTAATATATGATAAACAGGATTTTTAAATTTCAAGGAAAAATAGCTTTTGTGAATACTTTTGAGAACTCTTCTCAAAGATCATGATTCAAATATATTAAGGAGCCAAAATATTAGAGATGAGTTCACAATCAAAATTTTCTCACTTTTCTTCCAAATTGACATCCTTACTCACCACTTTCAAGTTTTTCATACATATATCTTACCCATTCATTTGGAATACGAGGTCTCGAGTTTTCGTTCATTTTTTTTACTTTACAAAACTGTTTATTTTTCAGAATTTTTAAATTTGAAAAAATCCATTCTATATCAGATAAATAATATATTATTTTTCAATCAAAATATTTTGATTATCATCTCAAAAGTGTTCTCAAAACCTAGTTTTTCTTATTTTGGATAATCTTAATATTTATATTATTATAAACTAATTCAACACCATATGTTTTTGTATACTTTTACAAAAAAATTGATAGATTTGTGATACTTCCCCCGACGATAGAATTGAATAGCTTACATTTTGACAGAACTTAATATGGAACACTAATTCATAAAAAACGCATACTTTATTCTTAGTTCTCAAAAAAAAAATATTGGTACTATACGACGAAGAAAGGCCTGTTCATATGGTAATCGATGTTAAGATTACCGCACGGAATCCACGTAGTGGTCATCTTTTTTAGAAAATTCAGAATAAATAATAACTTGTTCTTGAAATTTTTTAACATTCATGAGATACTTCGCACATCAAACATCCACCCCCATATAGTAAGTGTCCATCGCCAAAATCAAAAATAATTGGTAAAAATTTTGCTAGTCTACCTTTAATCATATTCAAATATCGTTAGTTTTGATTGATATATTGATGCCTGAGTATAGGCAGAATTACGCGAGCTGCTCGGCGTGCACTTTTGGAAGGGATATTTAATGAAATTGAAAACGAATTTTTCTTTTGACAATTTATTGTTCATTGTATAACGTGTACAATATGGATCCATCAAATTGCATTAAAAATTATAATGAACATTTTCGTTTGGCCGGACAATGAAAAAGGTAATAGAATTTTCTTCTTTCAAATAATTGATCACAAAAATTTTGCTATTTTTCTAGTAAAAAATTCTGTGCATATGACAGAATAAGATACGAAAAAAAATTCTCTTCTTTTTTTTTCTATCGCCGAACTCTCAATATGAAAATTGAGATATTATAGAATTAATTGCCTGTCAGCTTGTATAAATTAATAATGGAAAACTATAATTTTATACATTCTCGATGAGGATTTAAAAAAAATCGATTGAACGGTTCGATCGATTTTCTTTTTTTCCTAAAATCCTTATTGTTCATGGGTTTGTGATCGAATTCTTATAAAGTATCGGCTTTTCATCGCAATAATTTCTATATAAAGAATGTTCGTAGTAGAATTTAATATTTATAATTTGATATTTAATACTCAATCAAATGTCTATTACAACAAAATTTTGCGTAAGTTTTGAGAATGAAAAAAAATTCTTCTCAAAACTTACGCAAAATTTAATTCAATTCAATACTTTACATTTCATTGAAAATAAATATCATAAGATAGTTTTTTTTTTGAATTGTAATAACTGCATAATTTTAATATAATTCATATATATACCATTTCACATACACCCAAAGGTACATTTCAAATTTAGATAATGTCATACAAATGCACGTTATTGCAAAGTTTAGTTTTGAGAATCATTTCAATTTAACAATTCAATTATATTTATAAATTTTGAATATTCATTTTAATCTCTAAGTATCATATATCAATGATTTTTATTTTTACAAAACACTAAAAGTATTCAAAAAAATAAAATATCATATTGAATTTCGATATCAATTTTTTCTATCCTTGACTAATGCTTTATCCTTTACTTCCATTTCTTTTCCGATATTCATTTCAGGTCAAATTTGATGGTCCCATAGTTTATTGTGGTGTTATACGCGGATTGAACGATGGTAAAACTTACCTTACTTACGACGACACCGACGGAAATGAAGATTTTTCTATAACTATTAATGGTGGTTCAACTCTGCAACATTATAATTCGAAAGATCAAGGTCTTATAAAAATCCCTTGCGGAAATGACGAATTGAAAGACTTACCTGCCGGCAATTACTCTATTGTAATTCATCAAATTCGTGATGGAGTAATAGTGAAAAATTATACTGGTTACAATTTGACAATTGTTCCAAACTTTCAAATTTCTAATATTACGGTTATAACCCCTCTTGTTGAACCAAACGGTTTTATTAATATATCACATTTACTGACAATTCAAGATGTTTATACGATTAGGTTTCAGATATATACTGATCTCTTTGTTCAACCAGATTTTTTTAATTGGTATCATGAAAAGATATATAATAAAGATACTGGACAGACCGAATACGTACCAAAAACATTAAATAATTCGGAATTTTTTAGAAAATTAAAATATCAGGCACTACGTAGTCAACTCATTCCAGCTATGGCGCATCAATTGAAAGACTTTCCTGTATGGGACTATTACCAACTTAAAAGTGACACACCAACTGGCTTCATTAATATGTCTATATGGGATAGGACTAACTTTGCATTTTCAAACTATTTGAACTTCACAGTAGAGGTTAGAAATAAGCCTATAACCCTTTTCCGAGCACCTTACCCAAACAAACTTCGAATTAACCAAAACTTTACTCTGCATATCAAAATGTGGCAAATAGACCCGGATATTAATTACAATATATATTAATGGTTCAAAGTTTAATGCTACATGGTCTAGTGAGGAGATTCAAAAGGAAATGGATATTAATGTAGTTTATTTTGATCACCAAATTACGGCCCGTTCAATCGCCGGAGATTATTATTTGGGGGGATACTCAACATATAAAGATGTAATAATTGGACAAACAAGACGTACAGCCCAGAAAATTCCAGTCAGAGCTCCACCAGTTGTTGAGAATGTGACAACTGAAAGCAGCAACATCTTGAAATCATCAAATTCTATAACATTTGGAATTTCATATACTGATCTCGATGCAACAGATAATATTACTGCCTTCTATAAGATTGATGATGCTGCTAATTACACACAATACAATGAAACTTTCCATATTACATCTTCAACTGGAACACTCACTCTTACATGTGATTTACCAAGTGAACGCACTTTAGGTGAGCATAAAATATATGTCATGCTTGTAGATTCGAATGATTTTGAATCTAACACAGATAAATTCCTGAAATTCTACATTAGGGAAAAACCACAACTCACTATTGATTCTATTGACAAATTATATTATCTTCCAGGTGAATCGTTCATTGCAACTATCAGCATTAGCGACCAAGATCAATCTGATTCTGAGAAGATCGAATATCGTCTTGAAAGTGCATCTGAATATACAACACTCAGTGAAGGTGTTTCAGCATCTAATAGTATAAGGTTGCCATCAATCACTATTCCAGAAAATTCTTCATCTAGCCCGCTTAAATACATGATACGTGTTACAGATTCATATGGCTTTTCTGACGAAAAATCTATTGATGTTCCTCTCCACTTTAAGCCAACAATCACAATTGATGAGATACCAACCAAAGAATCATTTGTTCATGGTGACAATATTATTATTCACGGCAAAGCAACAGATGAAGACGAAGATGATGTTGTTACAATTACATTAAATGTCAACAATGATCATTATACAACAACAGTATTAGCTAATGGAACTGATAAGAGTTTCTCTTTTAATGTTCCTGTTAAACAAGAATATGCAATTGGAACACTCTCCATCACCGTCACAGGTGTTGACTTATACAGTTTAGATTCTAATCAAGTCGATCTTTCTAAGCCATTGTATTTCATCCCAGTTATTACATCTGTCCAAACTGTTGACCAACAATATGTTTCACCATCTAACACGATCAAGATTAAAGTATCCATCCAGGATTTAGACTCAAATGATCAACTGACAGTTTATTACAAACGTCAGTCAGACACCGAATTCACATCATTGCCAGCTCTTCAAACAGCAGACAGAGAAGGAACTTTCGACATCCCAATCTCAGAAACTGCTACTACAGGTGATTTCACAATCACTTTCAAGGTCACAGATAGCCATTCGCTTACATCTCAGCCATCACCATTTGTTGTACAGGTCAGAATTCCTCCAAAGGTTCAAGATCTTAGTCCAGAAAAACCATTCTTTTCTCGTGGCGAGTCTGTTGTTGTCAAAGGAAACATTGTCGATCCAGACTCTAATGATGAATTTACAATCACAATTAAGTTTGGTGATTTAACTAATAGTAAGACAGTTCAATCCGCAGGAGAAACAACACCATTCTCTATTCCTTTAGATAATGTTCCTATTGGTGATTTAACAGCCGAAATATCTGCTGTTGACAAATTTGGTTTTGATTCGAACAAACCAACTGTTGCTGTCAAAGTCAGAGTTGCGCCAGTAATTTCAGATCTTTCCATTGCAGCCAATAAATACAAGAGAGGTGATGAAATTACATTAACTTTCAAATTACTTGATGAAGATATCAATGATTACGTTACATTTACTGGTGACATTAGTTCTGCAGCTTTCAAAGATGAAAACCATGTTCCAACAACAACAACAGCAAGAGAAACAACATTGAAGGTTGTGATTCCAGAAGAATCAAAGTCAGGAGAAGATTTAGTTCATCTCAAAGCTATTGATTCCCAAGGATTGGTTTCGAATGAATTAGAACATCAGATTTACATACTCTCCAATCCATCAGTTAAATACGAAGGTAAGAGCAATGATGGAAACTCCAAGCCATACGATAATGTAACAATTTACTTCTCAGTTACAAATCCAGATCCAGATGAAACAGTCAGTGTTTACATCAAGATCGATAGTGGGGAAAAGATCTTCGTAGGAAATGTTACATCTCCAGCTGAAGATGTCAAACTTAACTACACATATACAGTTCCAGGAAATCAGCCAAATGGAACAATTCCATTCACAATCATTGCAGAAGATGATAGTGGCCTCTCTAACACAACAAATGGAGACATTACAATTGTCGATCATCCACCAATTACTGTTCTTAATAAGAACATCAAGACAGTGAAACAAAATGATACAGTCACAATTGATTTTGATGTCAAAGACTTAGATCCTGGTGATACTGTTTCTGTCTACCTTGTAATTAGTCGTGAAGATTCTTACTCGAAAGAATACGTTCTTTTTGAAAAAGATGCTACACAACAAGAATTTGTAAGTCATCATGTAAACATTACAATCCCTGAGGACATGCAGGATAACGAGTACAAGCTTTCAATCAAGGCAATTGATAGAGCAGGACTCGAATCAACCGATGAAAATAAGATTCTCGTCAACTCAAAGGCCCAATTTGGTCAAGATGGTTCATCATCCAAATTTGAGATTCTTGTTGACAGGAAATGGGTCGTAGTTGTTATAATCGCATGTGTGTTGGTGTTGGTATTGATAATTGTATTAATTATCATTATCGTATGCATCCCACCAGTTGTCGAGAAAGAAGAGGATTCTATTGAACAAGTCGAAGAAGACTACCCTGAAAAAGAGGATTCCGGTGAGACTGTTGATATAAGCTCGGATGATGTTGTGTTTGATGAAGGTGAACCATTGGAAGACTCAGGTGAATCGTTCTCGGTTTCCTCAGAAGATGTCGACATTGATCAATTTTAAATTATAATTTTTTTCTATATATTTTATAAAACTTTCTATATATGTTAAATTAGAATGATGTTTTTTGACTCTTAGTAAGTCCTGGAGGAATCTGGAACAGTTATGAAATTTTGGAGATGTAATTTGAATCAATACTGAGATGTTTAAGCGCGAAAATATGTAGAAACAACATTGCTTTTCAAAATCATGAAAAGAAATTTAAAAATTCATGATGCTAATCAACATTAAGATTTATTTAGAATTTATAAGTCTGAATTTGTAAGCAGAAACATGTGCAAGGTGAAATCTTTCTTGGGAAGCACAGAGATAAATTATAACAGGTACGATCAATTTAAAAAAAAATGAGGTTGCACTGGAGTCGGTTTGCCAAAGCCCTCAATTTCGATCAATTGGGGTTTAAGGCTAAACTTTTTTTTCATATATTTCCATATTGAGTAAATATTTAGTAAATATTTTGATTGATCATATATCGCTATATGACTATATATCATATCCATAAAAATCATGGAAAAATATCTCGAAACCAAGGAAAAAAAGTGGGAGTGTCAAACCGATTACAGTGCACCCTTGATAATTTTTTTTCTCCTCACAAAATACTTAGGAATTGAGTTTGAATAATTCTGAGAAATTGTAAAAAAAAATTGAAAAAGTTGTAAACTTGATATACGAATAGAGTTTTAAATAAGATCTAAATTAAACATGTATATATATACATTCCTCCAAACAATTTAATTATGCGTTGTAATGGAGGAAAAAAAATAAAAAAATCCGCGCGAACAGAGCCAAATCTTAGAATTCGGCTTTGATATCACCCTTTGCAACGGTGTTGTTGATAACTCCGTGGGTTGTGCATAGGAAAGAAATATAATTCAAAAGAGAAGCCCAATCAGAAAGTTCTTCAGAGGAGCTTCCTGTTATTGTATACTTTGGTCCATCATATGCCTTGTTTGAACCGATAATTAACTTTGAATTCGAATTATTAGTAATATCAAGATCGAAAAGGTCATCGTTCTCATGAACATTAGCTGTGATGTTGTAAAGTAATATTTTGAGCCTGAGATTTTGATATTTTTGATCAGAAAAAATTCCGAGCCAATATCCCGAAGTTTTCAGATAAATATTCTTACTAAGTTTGAATAAAGTCTTCTTAATTGAGATTTGGGATGACCGTTCAAGTATTGGAACACCATAGTATGTTCCAAATGTATATCTGACAGAAAGAGGACAGTTAGTAATAGCCGAGTAGATAAGGAAGATATCTTCATCCGAAAGCAATGATTTTGCGAAATATGATTTAAACTCATCTGGAGAAATCAGAGATGCAGGTGTTGATTTTGCACAGAATAGAACAAAAGCAACAGAAATCGCAATAACTTGATTCTTCCTATAATGGCTGTTTTAATTCTTAGATAAATATGCTTCTGCGAATTTTTCAAAAATTAAATCCAATAAAAATTCGTTGTTTGGAAAGGAAAAAAGCGAGAAAAAGACGGATGCCGATTCTATAACTGTTGTGAACTCCGTATTCAGCGAAGTAAAGAAGAAAAACAGTAACGGCTCGGGTTGAAATGCAGGATTAAAAAGAATATCTGAGCGTCTGTACAAAGACATGCCTTGTGATGTGCTTAAGACTCTTGCAAGATAATAGGGATCCGCGAATTTTCTATATGTGCTTCGAAGATTAGAAATTGTTTCTTTTGGATTGATGTTAAACAGATCGGTAAAATTAGACATTTCTGATGGAATCTTTGCATCAAACAGTTCTTCGTCTTTTGGAATATATAAGGTTGCTTTAGAAAAGACCCTTGAACGAGCCATTCTTTTATTCAATCTACTTTTTTTGACAGATTGCTGATTCAATTATTTCAATTTGATTACTGTTTATATCAGATGGACATTTTCAAAAATCAATTTATACATCAGAATTGATTCCGGAATTCTTTAAAATTAAAAGGCCAGATATGAATCTGAACATTCGAATATCATTTCAATTTTTGTGAAGATGTGACAAAATCAAATTAAAATAATGAACTAGGCTAGATTGTATGAGATTTAATTAAGATTATTACTGATAAAAATTTAATTTAAATTGAAAGATTTACAAAATTTTATGCTTAATGTTAAAACTACAGAATATTATTCTACATCAACCAAAGATTATTCTCCCTAATTTTCGGATCATTTGAATTAAAAATTGCAAAGGACAAAATTTTTGCTATATACTAGTATGAGCAGTGTTTTAATTCCAATTAATTTAAATCAAATTCAAATCTTGGGATAAAAATTTACAAAAAAAAATCGAAAAGAACTAGCTTTGTTTTTAATAGCACATTTTTAAAAATTTTTGAAATTTGGATAAATCACTAAAAGCAAACAATTAGACACGATTTCGATAAATAATGGTTACATACAAATTAGACGCTTGCAACTTTGTATGTCATGACCAGGAATTACATTCGCTGAACGTATTCTTTGCCTTGTGATTCATCACAATCATAGTTAAAATAAGCTCACTTAGTTCAAGCCAAATGATAGTTGTGTTGTGCTTGGACCTAACGATATGCCTAATTACAACATCTCGCAATTGAATAATTGCCAAATTCATTTTAAGCCATATTTTCCAAAATGATAATGAATTTCTATCTAATTCACCCCAATTTGAAGCAATGCAAGCAAAAACAAGATAAATTAATGAAAATTTTGAAATTCTATGTCATTCGTTATTCAAAAATTTCGGTCGATTAATATTAGTGCAAGATACACAGAAATTATTTCTGGTAAAATACCATCAAAATTTTTTATCTCAATAAATCTGAGAGAATTTATAATTTAGCTCACAATTAGATAATAGAGCGCGTACTAAATGATGGAGGTTTTCGTAATCCCATGTTTTGAATAGTTTACATGCAAATTATCGGATTGTCAGATTCAAAAATTTGATGTTTTTAATCTTCTTAGCACTCGCGGAATCCAGGCGTTTCAGAGGCGATGACCGTCATCAACACAAGGAATGCGAAAAGCCATCATTTTTACTTCCAAATCGTCATCACAAAGACAGATGTCCAAAACCATCTCCAAAGCCTGAGGAGCCAGATCATTCCAAACCATCACCAGCACCAAAACCAGCTCCAAAGAATCAAACACAAGGCTATGCAAACAAGACTAAAAAGAACAACACAAGAAAATACGATAATGACCTCGGAATTCCACTTAATGGAGACCCACTCCTTATCTGCTTATTTGCTGGTATTGTTGGATTTGGTTTCTTCATCCTTACAGTTTACGTTCTTTATCGTATTTATCGCTGCTATTATGGCAGAAATGATGAAGAACAGAACATTCCACCAGTCCACTATGGAGCTCCTCCAACTCAGCCATCTAACCAAGTTCACCTTCTTAACGATTATCCAGGAAATATCCAAATTCCACAACGCCCAGTTATCTACGTAATTCCAGCTCCACAGGCTGGCTACCAGTACCAGTATCAGGTTCCACAGCACTTCCAAGCTCAACCACAACCAGCTGCTCCAAAGCAACAGAAACCAGTCGTTTCTCCAGCTCCTGCTCCAGCCAAATCACCAGTTCCAGCTCCTCCAAAGCAGCAAGAAGTAACTGTTAAGTACGGAATTCCATCAGCTTCTCAAGCTCCAGTTTATGTTCAATACTCACCATCCCCAGTTCAGAACCCTTATGAATCTAACTAAATCCTTCGTTTATTCATACTTGTATTTTTTAATATTTTTTTTAATCTGCTTATCTTTGATCTTCTAAATTTCAAATCAAAATTTTGAAATATCCAAATGGGTCGGATCTATAAATAAACTATATTGATTTCTAAGATGAGTAGATTATGTCAGCAAAGTTTGACAGTGTGAACACAAAGTTTGAAAATAAGGCATTTCTCATATGATCAAATAATCTTAATTTGATAAATCATTAATTATATATGTATTGTGTAGGATCATGGCAGTCTAATCATAGATTTGGCGCCTTTGTATTGCAAAAGATATTAAAATCTATATTTCATTTATCGGAATTTTTATTTTCGCAGCTTGTGTTGACAGAACTTAGGATTTATTTTGTAATGAAATTCTACTTGATGGGTAAATTCAATGATATTTTCAAAATCAGAACAATTAGATCTTGTAAAAAAAGAAACTTTGAAAACTGGGATAAAAATGCTTTAACAAAATTTATCTAGTACAGATAAAAAATGATATTTTCCTGCCATGAGATAAAAATATTCTGTTGCACCAATGAGCGGAGTAAATCCAATTTTCACTTTTACTTTTTCATCATATCTAATAGGGATGTATGATATTGGATTAGATAAATACATAAATCTTCTGATGCATAAATATGCGTAGTATATCCACATATATTTAGTTCAATTAAGAGAAGATAAATAATCAAATTTCAAGTTTAATATATTTAGATGCATAAACGAGAGGAACTGTAAGTGGCTTATCCTTTTTGTTTGATATATCAAATTCAGCAGAAACAAAATATTTCAAAAAATTATTTTTATAAAAAAGTAAAATGCATTTTGTATGAAATCAGTACAGTGTATTTATTCAGCTTTTCCGATTTGTCTCTTTCCTTCAATCGAAGAAAGTGTTCTAAAGAAAATTTGGTCTGCAAGCGAGACACAAGTGAAGCAGCCACCAACAATAGCGCAAACTGAGGTTATTAACTTCCATGGAGAAGAGATAACTTCGTATTGGACAAGGGAAATTGGGGCGAGATTATAATTCAAGAAAATTCCGGGAACTCCGCGATTTACTTTCTCTGTGAAGTTCTTTTGTGTAATCATTGGGTGGAATTTGTATGTTGATACTGGGAAACCACGACTTGAGAACCATTTTGTAGGAACAACTTCAAGATCGTAGTTATATTGCATCAAACCTGGTTCTTCTTGAAGAACTGTAAGTCCATCGAGTGGTCCTGGCTCATGGGAAACTCTTGGTCCGAATTCTAAGTAATTAATCGTGTGTGTGAGGTTGTATTTGTGAGAAAGACGAGAGATATCCTTTGGATGTTTATCACCGACCTTGTAATCTTCAAGAGCAAAGTAAAGGAAGCCAGAAATGTGAGCAACGTTGATATCTCCATAAACGTTGCAGCTTTCCTTGCCAAGATCTGCGTATCCTTCATCTATGCACTGTTGCCAGCGATCAATGCCATCAATGCCCCAGCCTTTGGCCTTAAAAGCGTTGATTACATCTTCGCATGAATTGCAGCATTTTCCTTGTGGGAGAGCGCCATAGCATTTGCCGCAGTATTGTTGTGGTTGCTCTTTCTTTTGCTTTTTGCTCTTTGCAGCGCGTTTTAGACGTATCCAATTTACGCTGTCGATTGCAAAGCCATTCTCATCAATTCTTTGTTGCTTGATATCATTGACGTCTGTAGATTGTGCATTACCTTCGGCATCATAAGCAGAAATAAATAATTTTCCGCAAGGAACTTGAATTGAAATGTTAAAATTGATGTTCATTGTTCTTGCAAGGCTAACTCTTGAAGAGTCAACTGCAATATCCTCGTAAATACGTGGGAAAATAAATCTATATAATTCGTGAAGGAAAAGAATTGACATAAGTGTCATGGCGATTAAAGAGAGAATAGCACCGCCATTTGTCTTAACTTTGACATCTGGATCTGTATACTTTGGGAAAATATCAAATTTCTTTAGCGAATTCATTTTTTTAGTTGATTTTTTGGCCACATTCGGAAATAATATTATTATGAATTAATGGTCTAAATGAAAAATTAATTTGATTTCAATGATAATTTTGGACTTTGAATGCTAACCAATTAATAAACAGAATAATCTCATTTTATATTCAAAATTCTTATATGAATTCTAATTAACCATAATATGAGGACTGCAATTATCATATAATATCGGTTAATCGCTATGAAAATTGATATGAATTTCAATATCTTTCCATGTATTGCGAAAATTTATATGATATCAGAACCAAATCAAGGAGGAATTGATAAAATAAGTTCTACGAAGAAAAATAAAAAAGCAAATTTCTCGATAAAACATTCAAAAAGTGACAAATTTAAGTTTTACTTCAAAAGAAATCAATCTATTCTTAATATTAATAGCGTATTCTCAAGATATTGGTTTTTCTCCCAATAGAAATAGTCTTTTTGACACTTATTCCGAATTTAAAACAAAAAATCATAAATTTAATACTATTGAAGCGTTACTAAATAGAGAAATTATATATTCAAGAGAAAATCCTCAATCCGAAAATGATGTTAATCATGATACAAAGCAAACAGAAGAAAATCAATTAAAAAAGCAAACTAATGACATTTCATCAAATAAAAATAAGCTTAAAACAAAAGGAATTACTAAGTCAAGCGAGAAATCGAAATATCTTGATTCAAAATGCCATAAATTTGCAAGATTTATTAAAAATGAAAAATGTGTCTGTATGCAAGGAACCGTAGGTAGTCGAACATTCTGTGATTATGAATTACCAGAAATTGTTCGCTTGGAACCAAAAATAATTTATTATCAAAATCAAATGATTAATATTACTTTTAAGAAGCTTTTACATAGTTCGCTACATGATTTATATTGCAAATTCAATCATAAAGCTATTAAATGTCCGGTGATAGGAAATCAACTTGTTTGTAAGGCTCCTGATCTAATTCCCGGTCACTATACAGTTAAAGTTTCTGTTCATGGCGAAATATGGTCCAATCAATTCTTTATAACATTTTCGCATTTTTATATTACCGAATCTCTTATCAATATACTTGCTTTCGTAATTGGATTTGTCTTAACTCTATGGATAATGAGCAAACGCTTCTTTGCTCGTACATTTAGATTCATTACATCCAAGATCAAGCCAAAAAAGCAAGAAAAATTCTTTGACTAAACGATATAAATGCATTATGTTTTTTCTCTTTTGCTGAAATCTTTTTTTAATCTGATTCGCCGTCGTTTTTATCGTTGAAAGTGGATCTCTGAAATTTTTTGTCAAAAATGTCACGTGTAAAAATACCAACCACTAACAAGACAGAGATAAAGGTTATCCTTGTTGGTAACTCTGGTGTTGGTAAGACTACCCTGATATCTGCAATTTCTCAAGGAAAATTCAACTCAGATCAGAAATCTACAATTGCTCCATCTTATTCATATCTTGAGATTAAAAATAAGAAAGGTACTACTTCAAGATTACAAGTATGGGATACTGCTGGGCAAGAACGTTACGCATCAATTTCACAGATTTTCTATCGCGACTCAAGCGTTGCTTTAGTTTGTTTAGAAGTTGGTGATGAAAACAACATCAATTCTGCTATTGAATGGGAAGAAAAGGTTCTGACCGAGCAATCAAATTGCCACATCTTCTATGTGATTACAAAATCCGATATGAATGATCCTAAAGATACAGAAGCTTTTGCTGACCTCTTGAAAAAGAGATTAAACAATACCCAAGTTTTCATTACATCGGCCAAAAACATGGAAGGCATCAAAGAGCCATTCGAAGCTGCGGCCAACTTAAACATTAACCCATTTGATAAAGGCCATGATTCTGTTGATATCGCCCAAGATCAAAATAAAGATCAGAAAAAGTCATGTAATTGTTAAAAATTATATTATCATATATTTTAGTTTGTTTGTAAATAAACTAAATCATGTATTATCATAAAATAAAAACAAGAAAAGAACAAATTTTATTGGATAAACAAAACATTGTCGATTGCTGGAGAATCGAAATTTGGACAGTATTTTGTAATAATTAGTTTAGGAGGGAAATGCGCTGTTGATGCTGTAGTAAATATTGTAATTCCTTGTAAATTAATCACTTGAAGGGATAATATTTGTTCTAATTCACGGAGCGTAAAGTGCATAATTTCAGGGTTTCCACTGATGTCTAATGATTTTAATGATAATAAATTTCTAATAAAAATTGGGAATTTTATTAATGAGCAGTATGCAACATTTAGATGGTTAAGTTGTTCAAACGTCATTTCTTGGGGTAGAGTTGCAAAGAAAGTATTAAAAGACATATCTAAGAATTCCAGTTTTGGCATTAATGAAGGAGTGATTGCATCTGGCCATCTTACAAAATTGTTGTGACTAAAATTCAATCCTTTTAGGTTTGTCCATTTTGATTTTGTTGCAATTTCAGATATCCGATTAAATGATAAATCTAAATATTCTAGACTTCCATGCATTTTAAGGATCGTTCCTGGAACGCGTTTGAGCCCTGTATTCGATAATGATAAAATTTTTAAATTTTCAAATGTCTTGAGAGGCTTCAAAAATGATGATCTAAGATTATGAGTATTTGAAAAATCTAAATAACTTAATGTCTCTTTCGTTACTTTATTAGTTTTCGTCCCTTGAATTATTGCTACATAAATACTTAATGATGCATCCATTTGAGCAGGCATCAAAGACTTTTGTGAGTTTTTCTTTCCCTTTTCTTTGGTTTTTGGGAACGGAACATGAGGATTATAAATGAAAGGAGCAACAGAACCTTCAACTTGCTTCATAAGTGATTTTCTCCTTCCTTCTTTCCTTCTAACAAGCGTACTAAACAATCCCACGTTTTTATAGAGAGTTGCGCGTATATTTTGCATCTTGAATTTTTGATAATAAATTTTTCTTACAGTTTTAAAATTCTGATAAATTTATTTTCAATTAATTAGGGTTGTTAAAAATATCAAAAATTAGCGTTTTGAAGACACCATGGTGTCTTATAATTTTCCCTTCCTTATTGGCGTGTAGAAATAAATGCGCCAATAGATTGAAGAAGAAGAATTGTTTTTCTCTTAATGAACTTTAATCCTTTTGATATAAGAATATTAAAAACATTAATATAATTTCGATTTCGGAAATTAAATTTCCAAATTTTTTGTCGATTGCGGAAATAACAGGATCCCGCATCCAACACGCAACAACAAAACACAAAACACACTTTTTGGTTCTTTCATAGTTTTAATCGTAATTTATGTAATAAATGATTTGGATAAATTTTGCAAAAATAGAACCTATATTATATTCTTTTCAAAGATTCTTGCAAATCATCAAAAATAATTGTATTTTAAAAAACGATCAAATTATCCTTTCATTATTTTAAACTTAAATTAGTTTTTATGATTGACTAAAGCAATCATATTTATTCATCATTAAATAAACAAAAAAATAATATTTGAGAGTTATTTCAAAAAAAACACATTGAATTTATTAATTTGTCTCAATTTCAGTATTATAAATTTTTATAATTTCAATATTTTGAAATACACTTTTTAATATTTCAATATTTATGATATTTCAATGTATTAAGTGGTCTCAAATTGAGCTTCTCAAATATAAGTTGGCCTATTCAAATAATAAAATTAAATAATATTTAAAATAATAAATAAAAGTGATTGAGGTCATAGCAAAACGGCTGTTTCAGTCATTAATTCTTAAAAATAAAAAGGGTAAAAACTAAATACAATGGGTAAAATTCAATAGTGTCTGTGCTATCGTTCAATTTGAATGTGTCTTTTGAAACCGCAAGACACATTGAATTTTTGAATAGTGTATTATGGTTTGACAGACACCAATGAAAAAAATAAAATGATATTTATTTTAAATATATAAGATCCTTATATAAAATATAAATATTTTATCGTTTTATTTTCTTGTTTTAGAAATGTTTTTTATTGAAAAATCAATAAAACTAACTCCAAAATAAAATTTTTGATTTAAAGACACTATGATGACACCAGGCAAATCTTCCAAGACACCTATCGTCGGGAATCTAGGGCTGTACAAGATTTAAAAAAACATTGCCGGGTTACCGTAGAGGCCTAAAAAAATCGCGCCTCGGCGGCAAGCCGCCTCGGCATTAAGAATGCGCATCTAAATTTTTATATGTCCTTCTTTCTTTTATTTTTCCCTTCCCTTTCTTTTCTTTTTCTTTTTTCCCTCCTCTTGCTCTCATTTACCTTTTTTTTCCTTTTCTCATCATTTTTCAAAATTTTAAATTTTTATCAAAAATCTTGCCTATAAAAGCAGACTATGGAACCTTTTAATGCCTCTTAATCAATATTATACAGCATAAAGCATATTAAATGAAAGTAATTACGTATAAATTTATTTTATTATCTTATTTATTAATTCTTTAGCATGTATTGTTTAATATTAACTTTTCTGTACATTAAATATGATATCTCCAAAGTATGAATGCCTTGTAACGAAACGAAAACTTAATTTTATGTTGAATATTTGTCACAAACATTAGATTATTAAAATATATGTTGGATATCCCTTAGTATGAGACTTCATGACTCTTGTAGTCTAACGTGAGCTTTGGATTGCAAGCTCTGTGGTTAACGAACATAAATTAATTGTAAAGTTTTCAAAATTTTTCATCGTTTCTATCAGCATCTATTTTTCCTTTAAAATAATATATTTGTATGAATACAATATTTAGTAATTTTTTTATTTCCCATAATTTCATTCAAAATTTCAGAAAAAATTAATTTCTATTCAATATTATTTCAGCTTCAAAACACTTCATTCTTATAGATGTTGATTCACTAAAGTGTGATACTCAATGTCTTATTTCAATGAAAATTGTTCTGCAAATTTATTTCACTTTTGACCTCACTTTTTCCGTAATTCAATTTTTTACTTTTAATATTTTAGATCTTCATAATATCATTTGAAAAATTAACCATATAAAAAAATCAAGTTAACAATTCACTTTTTCCGTAATTCAAAAATCAAAAATATAAATAATATATCTTTTTATCAAATATTATTATTATATTCTATGAAAAATGAGGTCCGGAAATTTTGCGGATTCCCGTAACTCAATTTTACGGAAAAAGTGCAGTAAACTATTCAAAATACGGAAAAATTGGTGTAAACTAATGATTTTACGGTAAAATCACGGAAAGTCCCGGAAGAATATATGTGCCTATATGAAATTATACAAAAATGAATCAAACGCATTTTAAAAGATTGTTCTTGTATTATAAATGCTATTCGCAGATTTATTAGTTGAAGAAAATTACCAAATTTTTGCCGATTTACAAAAAATGATTTACAAAGCATATTTTTATAAGGCTTTAAAAATCTTTAAAATGTGACCGGTGACGGAAATCCATGGTAACCAACCGCGGTTCCCGTTTGGAATGCCATACGGGAATCTAACAACCCTATCAATTAATCATAAGGATGTCAATTTGGAAGAAAAGTGAGAAAATTCCTAAAATGCTAAAAATGAATTTTCCAAACGTACTTTTTTATCTCATTTTTTTGATTTTGAAAAAAATTTGGAGAGAAGAACTCTTCGTTTTTGAATTTTGTCACGATGGTTTTAAAGTATATTAGACACATGTATTGATATTACTATTTTTGTATATTTTGAGAGAAAATCCCTAAAAAGTGAGAAAATCTGAGACGGTTTGAGAAAATATATAAACTATTGAAAATTTGAATTAAACTTCTAATTTGGAAAAAAGAAGTCTCATCACACTTTTCAATGCTCGATTTTTAAAAACTGTTTAAAAATGGAGCTTATATTGAAATAGTGTAGAGACTAAAAATTACCACAGACTATTTCAGAGGATTGAGTTGCCACAGAGGTAGGGCAACGATAGAAAATTTTTGGAAAAAAAGTTCGGAGATCTTAAACGTATCATATTCCCTGCATGGTTTGGTATCTTCCGCCATGCGTTGTGCCAAACATATTGACACTTTCCAATAATTAATTTATGGTATGAGTCACAGAGTTAGATTATAAAAAGAAAGTAAATAATTGCAATTAGAAATCATATATGTCGGAAATCAAATGTTGATGAGCAGAAACCTTTTACTCATCATAAAAGAGATAAATCACTAAAGATTTGTATACATTAAAATTTGATATTTGGTGCTCGAAAACTGTCTGATGGGACTCCTCCAAAATGAACCAATCTATCGCTGAGGACCAAATTAGATGATGTGGATGGTGTATTCTCTAATTCTAACTTAGGAAGAATGGGAACAAAACGAATGACGACAACAACATGTCAAACATAGATTAAATATCTATGAATCAATAAAGTATACGTGCATTGAAGGTGATAACGATCACTTGAGGCTTATAACTCTTTGACTAAATTATGCAATAATTAAATATAATCATTTTTATATTTTTATACTGATAGTAATTAATATACTATCCTGCTTAATAAATGGTATGATCAAATTTGTTTGAAAATTTAATTATGTATATGAAACTATGTCTTCTATATAAAAATCAAAATTTTCGGACGAACCTAGATTGAACCTTTATGAAAATCTATCATTTTTGTTAATTGAGTTAATATGAATCTTTTACATATGTATATATAGCATTGATAGCTTATATAATCATGGTTTATTCCATATTAACATATTTTTTCAGTTAAATTTGTTAATAATATCATGTAACAAATTAATTCAAGATTAGAATGTCTACAAAATGCTAACAAATAAGAACAAAATACGATTTCTCGACTTAAATTTTAATATGGAGTAGTTTTTCGTTTAAATCTAATTAAAAATGAATAAAAACTTATCTTGTACTATTTTCATTCAAAGATTTTAATAATGTAAATCATGCATTTTCATAATTCAGTACAGTTCTTTTTAGAATTAAAGTTGATGAGGATGATATTTGTGATTTAAAATAATTTGTTAATGTTCACCTTTTATTCATCACCTTGTGGTATGCCCTAAAGCAATAGCATTATCAATTCTGCTGAATTGATCAACTCAAAATTCCAAAAAAAATTCAAAATTTCAAAAATGAAATTAAACAATTTGAATTTTCACATGAAAAAATCAATTTCGAAAAAAATTTGGAAAATCAAAGTATTTGATAATTAGTCAAATAATCAATTTACATCGTTTTTACTCATAAAAAACAACTAATTTTTGATTTTGATATCATATTTGATAAATACTCATTCCAGAGTTGACGTAATGTATTAATTATTGTTAGAGATATTGCTTTCGCAGCAAAATTCTTATTTCATGAAAGAAAAAAAAAATGATTTTATTCCAACAAAAACAAGTAAACAGATGAATGGAAACGTACTATATTTTCATAAATGTAGTAATCAGCGTGTCAGCTTTTGTTTATCATGTTCGAGTCAAAATGTATTAACTTGTAATAAGAAATATTCGAAGATTATATGAAGTATTGAGCATTCTTTGTAGAAATATTTGTAATTCATTACTAACATATATAATAAAGTTGTTTTTTTTTCCTTATTGCAATAATTTTGTCTGATTTTAATAACTTTTCATGTATACGAGTTGTGTGAATATGCATCATAATATGCGTAAATATACTTATTTGCGACGAATAATGTGGTTGCATAATGGAGGTGCTAAATTTTGATTTTTAATATGGGGCTTTGGTATGTATAATCATGTTCTTATCTCAACGTAGGAGTATTGGTGCAATATGATTAAAATTTACGAGGTTGATCTTAAATTGAATAATTCTGGAGTATAAATCACAATGCAGCTAATTCTATGTTAAAGATAGATACAGATTGTAGTAATCAATTAGGGAGTACAAATTCATTCTTTCATTTCTGTCGTATTGAGCAGAAAGGAAGAGATCATAACCCTAGGAAAAAAAGCCCAAATTTGTCACTTTTCATAGTACGTTAAACTCAATTCGCTCGGCGAATGCCGAGCACACGTACTCATCATTCAACATAATATTCTCATTCTTTGGTTATTATAGTGCCAGACAACACAAGATTTCAAAGAATTACTTGAGTTTTCAATTAATCTTAATCCGATTTTAGATTTATCGAGAACTCCATCATCACAATCACATACTTCAGTGCGGTAACTACAATTATCCATATACAGAAGGAAGTTCTTTTCGAACAACTCATTTGGAGTCTGTTTTGGAAAGAACTTCTTTCTGTCCGACTTAATTTCATAGTTCCTGATCAACCAAAAGACAGAAACCACACACTATCTACTTAGGAAAGGAGTTCTTTCTAAATCTTCCTTAAATTGAGATTTTACGAGAGATAACCCTTCTATTGCACTTAAAAATGAACATTTTGATATCTTTAGTATCACACATGGTCATATATAGTATTTCATCTACATGAATACATTCATCTTTCGAAGTCTCTCATTAAATGGGAGGCTTCGAAAGATGAATCGTTTTATTCATACAACTTTAAATCTCGAACACATTTAGAGAGTGAGTATATCATTTTATTCTTGTTTTGAGTTTATTCTGATTCAAAATTGCAGTGAAAACAGAAGTTCACACATCATATCTGAATGTGAGCTCATCTATACTTATACGATCTCAATACCTCCACTCTAAGCATAAGAGGTGAAGTTATATAAAAATTATCAGATGCGTTGAAGTCTCAAAAGTATTGCCTGAATGCTTGTTTCATATTTGTCCAAGTAGTTTCAATGAATAAATGTATTGTTTTTTATAATTTCGATTTATTTTTAGAAAATATTCAATATAAACCTTTATTGTGTTATTTACATCTCATAAATTCTCTGTCTAAATCATATAAAAGCGCGTTTTACCCCTATGAATCAAGAAATTCATTCAATATTCATGGTATATTTATTAAATTTATACGATTTACTAATAATCAATATTATATCCTCATAAATAGCAATATATTTTGGTAATCTATGATAATCATATACAATATTTGAAATCAAATTTTCATTAGTTTAGGTTCCTTGTTAATAGTAAACCATTATATTTATTACTAATAATAAAATCTATGTGTCGTATTGAAATTCAATAAAATTACTTATTCGGTCCAAAAAAACAAATTAGATAAAATTTTTCTTTTTTTATGTAATCTTTGTTTTTCATTTTTCTCAAGATCCTAAGTTATGTTCTAACTTTTGACATCATATCCTATCATGCTAGGCTATATATTATAGCATATCCAAAAGGCAAGGAAATCTATCAGAGAAGCCTTTTTGACCTATCGTTGCCCTACCTCTGTTGCCACTCAATCCTCTGAAAAGTCTGAGGTAATTTGCAAAATTTGGAAAGAAGAAAATTCAAAAATCGAGATTTAGACTCAGTATCAAATGGAGAACAAAATGTTTCTTCATATGAAGGAAAAAATTTTCTTGAGAAGAAATAGAGTTTTTAAAATTTTATTGTATGTAATGAAATAAACAAATATTAAAATTATTTTTTGATAACAAGAAAATTCCCAACAGAAAATATTTGAGACAAAGAAAAAAAGAAAATTGAAAAATATTACTCTCCTTTACATTTCATGAGATTTTCAATTTATTTTCATAAAATTGACAATTTTATACGTTTAGATGAAAATAAGTGATTTTGCTTGAAATAAAAATTATTGTTTGTTTACAGCTATCAAATAGATTTTTGCTAATTTGATTAAAATTTGTTAATCAAATTAATAATTTTTTTTCTAAATATCTTAAATATCTGGATCACTCACTGATACGATGAATTAAACGATAAAAATAATACAAACTCAACTAAGTTTCCTGTCTTTCAACCAAAAAATATTATGCAATTTAAATTAAATTGTTTATTCAAAGATAAAACAAAGATAAAGTAATTATAATTATCATATACTTTATGAATAATTCTCTAATTGGATAAGATTTTCGTACAAATATTTTTATTAATATCGATAAGAATATGTTTACCTACTATCACCATATGTCGATAAACGAGAGTAGAGTGATTTTTAACATCAAAACTTTTTAAAAGCTGTAAGCAGGAAGTAATAATCTTGTTTTTTCTGAGTTAGTTGTAGAACTATTGATGCACGAGTTATCATTGTGATGCAGAAGGATATCAATGTACTGACTGAAGGATATGAATTGAATTGAATTTTATTGAATTTCAATTTGATCAAAATTTGTTGAAATGATATGAATGTGTCAACTTCTGTATCATTCTCCTTCACTCCTTCCTTATTCTTTCGAGAACGAAGCTAGCTCAGCTTTCGCTGAGCGAATTGACACTTTTCATGCCCTAAACGTACATACTCTCAAATTTATCGAAAAAATTAATACCACCTAAACTAGTATATTCTTATTTTAAATATGATATTATCCTTATATTCCACACTAAAATTCATTTAAATCAACTTTTAAAAAAGTTCGAATCCTGCGCGTCTCACTTTTTAAATTTTCCAAATGGAAAATTATATTCTCCTAAAGTGAAAACAATTTTCCAAATTGACTTCCTTATTAATCATTCATGATTTTGGAAGTAATATTTAAATTTAATAAATTTTTACTTCTATAAAATTCAAAAGGGTCTTCAATTTTATTTCTATAAAAAATATTTTATCAATTTATAGTTATGAATATTAAGATTATAATAGTCTAGCATTTGAATAAATGAGAAATAATGATCTCAATAATATATTTTTCATAAACTGCAGGCTTGTTTTATTCATTAATGATCTGGGCCCATAGATAAGATAAAAAAGGAAAATGGTTTATTGTTGAACTTTACTGATTGTCCACAACTGTTTGAAAACGATAAACTTTTGATATAAAATGATTGCATTCCAAAATATTATTAGTGCAAGTGTTTGTTGAAGCTAAATTTTATAAATCATATCATTGGTTATTCCCTATCAGTAAGAGTAAGTGATTTGAATGTTTTACATAGCAATTGCTGGCAAAATGTCATGTAAAATATTCCCATATATCGTTGTGAGCATTTTTTAATGTCCAAATGAAATGAGAATTCTCATAAGCCTTATCTTTTGTATTCTTTATCAGTCCTTATTGATATAAAATAATAAGGAACATCGAGAAAACTGATTATTGATGTACTCTTGAGTGCAGTATTTTCCAATGTTCATTTATCAAATCGAACTGAAATAAGAAATAGAGAACATCAAAAATGTACAAATTTTCTGATGCAAAATGATTGCTGTGTTTCAAGCTTTCCTCGCTAAAGAAGAACTATATTAAATTTTTCTATTTTCATGAGGCATAAACGTTTCTTTGTAAAAATTGATGTATTTATAATCAATTCACAATTCATGTACCGATATTTCTATTTCTTTGCTGAATTTAGGCATTCTGAATAATGTTTATTGATCTGTATTCAATCAGGAAGTGTGTCTGTGAGTATTTATTGAATAAACACAGAATTAAAACTAAATTAGTTAAAAGAAAACATGTTTATTAGCCAAAATCATTTGCATATCATTTTTGTCGTCAATTGATTTCAAAGTCATGAGTAATATCATAGTTACAGTGTTAACAGATGATTTTTGGAACAAAATGCATTGAAATAGGCATTTAATAGTTATAATGATGCCGAATCATTTGAAATCATTCTCATTTTCGAATCTTTTTTTAATCTCAAAACATAATAAAAACGATGTGGGAAAAAAAACCTGAGAACGATGAAAATTTGTCAATTTTTGTGATGGAAAAGACCTATCGAGTTTCAATGGTAGGAGATGCTGCCGTTGGCAAAACATCTCTTATTGCATCACTTATGGGAAATGAAGTAAATGGTGAGTATAAAGAAACAGTTGGAGCTGCTTTTCATTCATATTCAGATACATATGAAGGTAAAAATGTTACAATTCAATTATGGGATACTGCCGGACAAGAAAGATATAGATCCCTTGGTCAGATGTACTATAGAAGTACAATTGCAGTAATATTAGTTTACGATATTACAAATTCCGCTAGTTTTGATAATCTTTCTACTTGGCTTCAGTCATTTAGGGATGTCACAGGCCCTCGTTCATTAGCATTTGTCGTAGCAAATAAAACTGATCTTGAACCTGAAGATCCGTCTATTTTTGCTCGTGGTCAACAGTTTGCAAAGGATAATGGATTCTTATTCTTTAAGACTTCGGCTAAAACTGGCGAAAATGTAAAAATGATGTTTAATACGATTCTTGAAGTTGTTGCGCAGACAAATGCTCCAAGTATTGTCACTTCTAATCTTAACCCTTCAGAAAAATCATCAGCTGGATGCTGCTGAAAAAAATTATATATACAAATGTTCTTATAAAGTAATAAATATCTAGTACGAATGTTAAATTTTTTGTGAGTGTTTTTTAAAACGAAATTGAATAATCATATTGCAAATTATGAAATTTTGAATATTTCGATATGAGAATTTAAACATGATGAGTATTTGTTCTTTCATCAATTGAATCTATATATGTTAGCTTTCATAAACTTAAGGGTCCACTGTAAAAATTGAAAGTCTCTCAAAATTGAGAGGCGATTTGCAAATAATCGTTATCGTCTTTTTCGAAAATCCACTTTTCCTAGTGTTCTGATTAATATTTTGTGAATGTAACAATAAAGTATATCTTTTAGTAAGATGATAATACATTCTATCACTTCAAATCACATAAAAATTGCAAAATCAGCGAGTTTTATAAGAACATGATTTTTTCCTATTTTTTCGCTTCTGGATGCGTGTTTTGAAAAATAGATATTTTCGAATTTTGATTTTAATTTAAGTATAAATTTTATATTAGGACTTTTTTGACCTATTTCCAATCATTAATTCCTAAGTTTTTCTAGGAATTTAATTGAGAAGAAATTAGGAAATTCGCTTTAATGCCATTACATCCTAATATTGTGATGCATGTAGTTTATATTTATTGAGGCTAATGCCGGAATATCGTGCATTTTATAAAAAATTCAAAGAATTGACAATTGGATAGCACAAATTTAATTCTCTAGACAAAGTATTATTGTTTATATATTCAAAGCATTATCCTTCGTTTTGAAATGTTGGCCAAAAATTTTCGTGTTATTTTTTGTGTTTCAGCATAAATTATGTATTGACTTATGAAAGATAAGCATTTTATTCATTATCATAAAGATATACCAAAACAAATTGATAAAATTTAAAAAAATGTGTATTTTAGTGGGTATTATTCTGGCCAATGCCCATTTTTAAACGATTTAATATTAACCATATCAATAGACGACTCAATGTAAAAATTTAGATATTATTTTTTTCATTATTCAAACTTTGATAAATTTTAGTATAATGAATGATTTTGTTTCGTGTATGATACAGAAATGAAAAGCTTAATTAATATTGTTTTGCATTTTTTCAAGAATGTTAGAGTACATCTACATTAAAAAATCGGATTCGAATTGCGATACTGCATCAAATTGATGCACATCTGATAGGGATCTCAAAAGAGTAGAGTTAATTTTTTTGTGTTTTTTTAAGTTTTGGGCCTTAGTAAAAACACCATCTTGAGCAATATTTTTGGGACGACGATAGGCCTTATTTGGCCTTACAGTGGACCCTTAAATTCGATTTTTTTTTGCAAAAAAATAATCTATGCAGCATAAGCCAAACTATTTTAAAAATGTATAAAGCAAAATGCTGAATAATTATCATATTAAACAACATGTTTGACCTTAATTATGCATTGATAATGTGTCACAAAGTAATGAATGTACTCACAATATTAAGAAAGTATAGAGTGATTTCTTATTCTTAATAATTATGATAGAAGAACTAATGCCTTAGCATTCTAGCGTTTCATTCAATCCAGAATTTATTTTTGATCTATAAATCCCCTGTGTGAAAAAATATCAAAAACTATATATAAGTAATAATTTAATAAATCGGAGTTGGAAACAAAATTGAATATGCAAATATTACAGTAAGAATTTTCAATAATTGCTTCTCACATGTTATTAAGTAGCACCATTTAGCTCAAGAAATGATATCATCTCTTCGCTTTTTTGTAAATATGCATAATAAAGAGCAGAATGGCCATAATTATTTTTCGCATTTATGTTTATATGATGCTTAATAAGGAATTTTGCTTTATCTATATCATTCAAATTTACAGCCAAATGCAGAGAGTTGAATCCATTCATCTCTTTATCATTAATATATGCACCATTTGATAAAAGTAATTCTGCAATTTCAAAACAGTTTTTGACCAAAGCAAATAGTAGGGGAGTGTGTTCTTTATTTGTTCTTATATTAACAAACGCTCCATTTAAAATGAGAAGTTTTGCAATATCAATTGAATTATTTGCTGGTGTCCAAAAAAGTGCTGTCCTTCCTTCATTATCTTTTTCATTGACCAAAGCACCATGTGACAGCAGTAATTTTGCTATTTCAACACAACCATATATCGCTGCTTTCATTAGTGGAGTGACTCCATTATTATCTTTTGAATTGATATCAGTACCATGCAAAATAAGTAATTTTGCAAGTTCATAATTATTTTCTTCTGCAGCATCATGAAGAGGAGTATAGCCCAGGTTAGTTTTTGAATTAATATTTGCACCGTGTGTAATAAGAAATTCTATCATTTCTTTGTCATAGCATGAAGCTGCATAATGAAGAACAGTTTTTCCGTCAATATCTGTCGAATTAATATTTGCTCCGTGAGAAATAAGAAGTTTAACAGCTGTTGTATTACCTACTGATGCTGCAATTTGAAGAGCTGTTCTCTGAAATTTACTTTCTTTTGCATTAACATCAATTCCTTTTGAAATAAAATATTCCAAAAGAGTCGAGCTGAAATTAATACTCATAACAAAACAGTTTTCAATATCATTTGTGATATCAAGATGAATAAAGAAAGCTTGAAAATTCTTACAAAGACAACAATAGTCCAAATCGATTTCTAATCCATATTCTCTATTCAAAAATGTTACAAAATCAATATTGAATGATACAATTGCAAAATTCATGCAATCTTGATCGGGTTTTTGATATTTCAAACATTCGCTCAATATGTCGGGTTTTCCACTTAAAAATGAAAATCGAAGACACACTGGAGTTATTTCTGAGTGGAATTTTGTTCTTAATAGTTTAAAACAATCTACAGCTCCGTGGTAGCAGCACAATTCAAGAAGTGAAAATCCATCTCCTGAATATGGATAAAAATCATGTTTGAGTTTTATATAGGGTGTCCAAAGGTGCGTTTAGCACAGCGCTCTATATGAGACTATTAAAGGAGATATATGCTGATTATAAATATATAATAAAAAATATGAATATATGTATATGATGAGTAAGTTGTATTTTGGCGTCATGCCGGGATATAAAATGAATTTTGATACAAGAGGCGGTTTCGCGGGAAATTTTGGCGGGATTTTTTTTCATTTTTTTAATGAATCATAAAGAAAACATCCTCGCTCTTGCAAAAAAATGCAAAGACTGTAAAAAATCTACGAGACATTGGTAAAATGCTTCGGTATGGATGCTCCTAGCTATTCCACTGTAACGTATCATGTTAGGATGTATCACTTCATGAACAAAAAGGCGCCCATCATAAAAATTGACAAAAAATCGCCGGATCAAAGAAAAATCAAAGCAATTCTTCAAGTGCTAGATGAAGACCCAAGAGCATCACTCAGAAGGATAGAGGAGATGACAAAGATACCACGTACAACAGTCAGTTATTATCTGCACAATTATTTGAACTACAAACTAGCGTATACACGTTGGGTTCCGCACAACCTTAATTCAGTTCAAAAAAAATCTAGAGTCCAATCTTCGAAAGAGCTCCTCTCTATATTGCGTGCGTATCAATCCAAGAAGTTTCGCTTTTTAGTAACAGGGGACGAGTCTTGGTTTCAATATGCAACAGAAGCCAAAATCATGTGGATCCCGAAGGATGAAAATCCGCAAACATTCCCGAAGAAAAAAATTGACACACCAATGATTATGTTGTCGGTTTTTTGGGGCGTGAATGACATCATCGCAATTGATATTCTTCAAAAACCTAATACGATGAATGCTCAGTATCTAATTGACAATGTTCTTACTCAAATTATCAATTCTGATGAGTTTGAGAAATCCAAACAACAAAAACAAAAGTTTGCAATTCATTTTGATAATTCAAGAGTTCACAAAAGTCATAAGGTAATGAATTACTTGGTGGAAAACAATGTCAAAGTTGTTCCAAACCCAATTTATTCACCTGATATTGCACCCTCTGACTTTTATTTATTCGGCACGCTAAAAAAGAGAGTTAGTATGGGTTAGTTGGGTACTGTGGCACTGCGCACCTACTTACCCATTATATGTGAATTTGACACTTTACAAAACCGCTAACGTATATTTTACAACACAAACGACAACACTAACTTAACATTAAATATTTACAAAGCCGCCAACCACTTCACCTCACTAACGAACTCACTAATGAAAAAATAAACGTTCTCATAAATTTTCTTCTATATCTTCATCGTCAATGTTAACTCTATTGTAGTCATACTTGAAGTCATAAAGTTTCTCAAGTTTTGAAATGCATAGTCTTGTTAACTTACCTTCATCATCATAAGTTTTTATAAAACTACCATGACAATCTTTATACACAGTCAATGTATAGTCAACTGGTCTCGGATGTATTTGAAAGAACATGTTATACTCAGGAAGGAAGAATAAATGTTTAAATGTATGTTTGTTATATTTTTCGATTTGTATGAGTTGCTTTTGTTCTGTCATTTACATCCAAATAAAAATTTTCAGTAAAATAAAAAATAAACTTAAAAATTAATGATATCACCACCCTCACACGTATGAAAACATAGCACAAAAATAAATTTAGGTGAAGTGGTGAAATCTCACCTCTTTTTTCACCCTGTTGAATTCATTGCTTTATAACTCTCTTCCTTGGTTTCTTTTTAGTTGCTTTCTTCACGTCTGTCTCCAACTTGACTGTCTTTCTTCTTCGTCCATAATGATACCAGTTACTTCCACCAGTCAATGGGTCAAATGGTCGTTCATAAGGGTTTCCATACATTCCATAGGGACCATACGGAAGAACTACTGGTGGAGAAGAAACATTTTCTTTAGTTCCATCGACTCTATTTAAATGCATTGTTTCACCTTTCATCTGGTCATTAAAGTCTTTTGCGTGTTTTGCATACTCATCGTCCTTTCCTAAAGCATTTTCTGACTCAGTCGCAACCAAATTGGATGCTTTATTTATGAGCCCTATTTTATTTAATCTTAACTTCTTTGCAACCCAGCCTCCAATCTTCCCTTTATTTGCATCTAATGTCTTCGAAACCCTTCCTCCACTCATTTTATTTACTGCGTCATAAGCTCCAAGTGCTTTTGCTCCAAATGCTAATGCTTTTGTTCCCATTGCGCCTAAAGCTGCCCAAGCTACCATTTACACCATATTAAAATCATCTCTCTTCAATATTATCTCATAAAAGTTCTCGTTACTGGAGAAAGTCAATGAAACATAAGCGTTCTCACGGGCTTCGCCCTCACCACTTTGCGGTCTATCTAACTTCTTTCTTATCTCATCTATACGCTTCAAAATGTCTGAACAATTGCTAACATCTTCTACAACAGTTATTTCATCATGAATGACCTTCAAGAACAAGCTCATTTAATATGCTATTAAAATCAAATAATGAGTCCATCCTTTCCATCTTTAGGTAGCACAACATCTTTCATTGAAGAAGGTTCGACAAGTCTTATGTTAAACTTACTGACAAAGTTTGTTATACTATAATGCTTCGGCGGCGAATACATGTAGTTTGAAAGACATAATATAGATTCTTCAGCAAATTCACTTATACTGGATTTTATAACAATGTTCTCACGAGACCAAATACCACCAATTGACAATCTTGTAAGCAATCCTGCTGAACCTTCACTGTAAACGTCGATGGTAACATTCCACGAAGGTCATCTATTGACATCGTTGAGTCACTGTATTTAAATATTTTCTTAAAGCAATCGTCATTATCTAACCATGCAATAGCTTTGAAGTTTTCATTCGAATATACATCTGCTTCATTAAATGTAAAACCTGACTTCTTTGCAGAGACGACTTTAAAATCTATTGAGTTTGTTTCAAAATTATATGCTATGGTAACTTCTGAAGGTAATGGATGTCCTTCCGCAGTCAGTTGTTCTCTCACTACCGTTTGAAGCTTTGTATTAAAAACTTTCATGTCATCTCCTGTATCTAAGTTCACATACACAGCAACAGGGAAACTATCTTGCTTCTTTGTTTCATCATTATATCTCAAAACATTAAAGTTCTTCAATAATATTGTTCTTCCTGCTGGAATACTTCGAACCTGTCTGATTTCAATAGCTTTCTCACCTCCTACATACTCTACCCAGTGTCTTGGATATTCATAAGTATACTGACTTTCTTGAATTTTGGTTGGTTTCATCATAACGTGTTCATAGTATATCTTTATACTCTTGTCAGTTAGACTCGGTGCTATGTTCTGAATATTTCTGACTTGCATTTTTAATGGAGATAAAATGAAGCATTTAATACATGACGTAGATGAAGACATGAATGAAACTACAGACAAACTTAACTCTTCTCTTATTCTTCCTTTCAGCAAAGATTATGAGTTCTGTTCAAATGGTGTGTATTTCTATTGTGGAAAGATGGGTTCAGGTAAGACATTTAACCTCATTCGTCATATACTCATAACAGAGCGTTTAGGAAATGACTCTTACTATGACCAAATCATTATATCAGCAACTTCAGACTCTATGGACTCAACAGCGAAAACATTTATGTCAAAAGTTCAAGCCTCTGTCGTTAAAGTTCCAGACAGTGAACTCATTGAATTTCTTCAACGTTACATTCGACGTAAGAGGAAATATTATGCCATCGTTGAATTTATACAGTCAGGAATGCAAAAGACTTCTGAGGAGATGGAAAGAATTATTGACAAACACCACTTACGTCAATACTCAGGAGTTTACGATATGAAACGACTGACAAACTACATTCTGTCAAAACTTTCAAAATACCCCTTCAAAAAATATCCATCAAACACTTTATTAGTTTGTGATGATTTCGCTGGTAAAGGTTTAGTTTCAAAACCAGACTCACCATTAGCTAACATCATAACTAAAGTCAGACATTACCACTTAACTGTAGCAATACTTATGCAAACATGGAGGTTTTTAGCTTTAAACATAAAACGTCTCATAACTGACTTCGTTATCTTTCAAGGTTTCTCACGCTATGACATTGAACTCATTTGGAAACAGTCAGGTATAACATTACCTTTTGAAGAAATTTGGGAAGCATATAAGTCTCTCATCTCTCCTCGTTCATACCTTGAGATTCATATCATGACTAATACCATTAAAGTCAAAAATATTCCATGGGAACGACCAACATTGTTTTAAAGTTTAACCTTCAATTGACTGATGGTAAACAAATTCCATGCATCTCTGTCGCCATTTCTGTTAATATTTTTGCTGTCATTCATATCATCCACTTCCCATCCGTTAGCTTTTGAGGATATGCGTTAGAATAGCTGTTCTTAAATGAAGGCTTTTCACCTTTGAGAGCATAAACTCTATAACTTTCTGCATACTTTATGTTTGAACCTCCTGAGCCATCATTGACATAAATTTTTATAGGCTTCCACCCTTTGTTCATGTTCCTGCTTCTTCCTTAGCTCTTTTGTTCAGTAGTTCTACATCTTTATACACAGCTCCTGTCTCAGTGAATTCAACAATATTTTCATTCGTTAGCTTTACATTCAAACCCTTGTCGAGTATATTGTTCATTTCATACATATAAAAGGTTTTTATTCTATATGAAATGAGAAGCAAATCCATCTTAGCTGGTGCCGTTAATGTTCCAATTGAACCAACATCAAATGTTGACTCACGAACGACAAACAATATTGTCATAAAGAACTATAGTTCAGAGTGTTTGAAAGAACCAGAACCAGAGCTGAAATCCGTGAATTTAAACACAGCTTCAAACGCTAACGCTACATCAGATGTTAAGTTAGAGTATCCACCACTGGACCAAATTCTTTCAAGAGAAGCCAACGACAATCCTTACACAAATGTTCAAACAAAATCCTTCAGATAACGTAGACCATTACCTTCTTCAGTTATACCAAACAATTTTACTCAAAGACGATAAGAAGCTTTTGACAAATCTTATAAGCAAGAACCAAATAATTCTAACAAAGGAGGACCTTGAAAATGTTATCTCACGAATAACAGGGAAACAATGTGTCATTGACTATCTCGACCCTGAAATCGAATGCTGTGGTCAAACTCCACTATTCATGAAAATAGGTAACATCCGCATCATTGAAACACCAGGAACTACAGGAGTTGAGTTTAAGTATAAATATTCGAATGAATATACAAAACTTTCAAAGAATATAAACTTTGTTTGAAATATGTTTTAGTAAATTAAAGCAGTCAGGAGGGCTCTTTGAGCCCATCTTGGCGCTTTGCGCCGTCAGTCAAAAAAAATTTCAAGTTAGCAATTTGTAATATCTATCCAAAACTTCTTCAACAGTATCGAACTCATCTTCATAATGCAAACCTAATCTTATTGACTTGGTGCAGTTTTCACTAACACAATATTTTTCTGTTCTCTTGACTGACATAACTAATTCATTTGTTTCATCAAACAGCAACAACCAAAGTTCATGACCTAATACATAACATTCATACTTTATATTTTTAGCTCTGAGTTCTCTTGTAAGCTGTTGCATTTAATATTTTCTAAAAAGTCAACTTCAACAGTCATTCGCACTGGTGCCTTCAGTTCTATAGGCTCTCCTTGAAAGTCAACAAGTCTGAATTGCATGTCTTTCAAATTATGAGGACTAATGCGAACCCATTTACCTAAATGAGTTGCTATGACAGGAACGTTTGGAATGAACATTGAATTGACTGCATAACAGAAGGATTTATATTCTACTGAACCTTTACTATTAACTCCTGAAATGCCTGTGACATTAGCTATTTTAGACTCAATGTATAAACAATTACCATAACATACATATGGAACAGATTTCATCTCAATCGTTTTGTCAACACTTTTCAAAGGAAATGTCATATGGTATGCACCCAAAAGAAGTTGTACTCTATGACTCATTCTTGGTATCTTAAACTCCTTCGCATAACTGAACTTCAAAACTCCTGCAATAAGTTTAACATTCATTAAGTTTTCTTCGTTATCCTTGTTTATTGTAGTATTTATGAGAGCATTTAACACTCCAGCTAATGTTTCCATCTTATATTCTACATTATTGTAAAATCTTATTTCGTGCTTCTTTCCATCTATTTCAATCTCCATGAAATCTGTTTCATCTGTTATAACAAATGAAGCGATAGTATTGAAGTCAACCATTCTGAATGCAAGCGCCTCATTCTGTAGACCTAAGTTTGTTTGTAGCTTTACTGTCCCGTATTCGTTTGGGTCTGTACTTTGCAAATAGAACAACATTTTATTCTCATTAAAATATGAGTATAGCTGCATATGCGTATGAAGCTGACAGAGCTAAACGTTTATATTTTGGTCAATACTCTCTCACACTTACTGACAAATATATTGTTATCACTGATGGAAATACTGAGAAATACATAACATGGAAGGACTATGAAAAGTTTGACCCTATTTTAACTCCATGTACTATGCCGTTTATAAAGGACAGTGAAATTATTGAAAAAGATAATACAACCGTATATAGGTCTGTTTATGAAGCATTAGAATATATGTTGAATCATAACCCAAAAAGATTCGATCCAAGCACTACACCATGTACAATGCCTTTTATTAAGGACGGTGAAATCGTAAGAGTTCCGGATTCAACGGTTTACACAGCTGTTCAAAACAGTTTACAAAACATTTTAGCGAATATCTTTAATTCAGAAACTACAGAAATAAAATTACCATATATAACAGATGCTAAAGAAATTAAATCAAAAACGACAACATTATTTACGTCACTTAATGATTTAATGACTTATATCATTAATATTCCTGCACCAACTACAGCATTTGATCCAAACTCGACGGTTTGCAGTGTACCTTTCATAAATGACAGTTCATTAATTACTTTAAGGGATTCGACAGTAAATGAATCATTAAAGGCGTCATTAATGAAAATCATTGATTTTAATTCATTCACGAATACATATAATTCATTCATTAATGTTTCATATGCTTCTAAAGAAGGTGAGCCAAAAACTATTGATAAAGCGGTGTATGAAATAAAAGCATCAACGACGAAATTGAATTCGTTAACTTTTGACGGTGATAGTTTCGTTAATGACATAACATCGGGAAAAACAATTTTAACGAAAGAATACTTAAAATCTCATGTTAGTGAGTTCGTTGAAATTGAAAAAGAAGGTGGAATTAAGTTCGATCCACTGAATTTCATTTTCAGCTTAGCGAATGCGGGTGTTAGTTTCGCTGAATGGACAACTATACAGAGTGAAATAAATGCAATATGGACGTTTTTGGGGTCAAAAGCGGGAATGGGTGAGCTTGTAAATGCTGCAAGAACATTAGGTGAAACAGGAAATTTTGTAGATGGTTTTAAAAGACTTGTTTCAAATGTTTTAACAAACACAAAGAAATTATTTAGATATACCATACATAACGGTCAGATTTTCGAACAGTAGCAACAAACCCTCCGGTTATGGCTGCGTTGATGATGGTTAGAGATATAAAACCACGTAACGACGGGAACGAAGAACATGAACAACAGGATACTGGTCGGGTTATTCGAGACATTAAAAACGTGTATCCTGAAGTTATTGATTTATTTAGAGGAGTTAATGATTCAATTTCAAAACATTCTATAACCCTCGATGAAGAGAATAAATTAACAGATTATATATTCGTCATTATTGCAGAATTAATGAAGAGAATAAATGAAAAAGGAATTGGTGATATCATTAATGTCAGCGATGTAATGATGAAAAGAAATTTTGACTCATTATTTACAAAACCGAAAACAGAATATAGTCTTTATGACGTAATTACCGAATTAATGAAAAAGATTAATGATAATAAGAGTTCTGGCGGAAGAGTTGAATTAGAAGTGAATGATGTTAATGAGAAATTAGCCGAAAAAGCAGACAAAAATGAGCTTTTAGCTCTGAGTGATAAAGTCAAGAACCACGTTCATTATATAACTTCAGACGAACAGATTATAACGGACTACCATGGATATTTAACACAGGATGAAAAAGTGAAGACGGAAGATGTTAATGAAAGAAGATATAAATTCATTCGTGCTAAAGGTTATGACATACACTGTACTGTACAGTATGACACAGGTAAAGCACCAGAAGCATTTGGTTATAACAATGAAATTTATGCTTCATACTTCTTTGTTAACGGTGTATTAGTTGAACCAAGATTTACATTGAGAGTTAAGGCAAAAATAACTTTTGAAGATGCTATTAAAAGTAAAGCTGACAAAGTTGAACTCGAAGCAATGAACAAAATTTTGAAATCTCATAAACACAACATCTCCGATATAAATGAACGTCAAGCTACATTAGACAGTAAAGCTGACAAGAACCATACAAACGAATCCTTCACTACTGTTAGAGCAGACGATGTAATATTGAACTATACTCTCGGTTCAAGTGCACCTTTAGAGAATCCAAGTACAAGCGTAAAAGATACACTAAACTCCTTAAATAACAAATGTATGAATATCGAAGGTCATGTCAGAAACTTTGAAACACATGAACTACCAGCAATGTTAGACAGTAAAGCAGATAAAGAACATACACATAACTCCTTCTCAACTGTTGCTATAGAAAGTATTGAAGGAACGGTTGACGGAACTGATGGGGATGCATTATATTATAAACCTCCTAACTTTCCACAAGGTTTAACATCGAATGAAAACATAACAACGAATAAAAAAATTAGCTGTAAAAATGTTTATGTCATGAGCAGTGAAAATAATGTTAAATTCACTGCTCAAGATTTATATGATAAGAAAGCAGACAAAACAGAGCTTCAAACATTAAAGACTGAAATACTTCAAACATTATATCCTATAGGCTCTATTTATACGTCAATGAACTCAACAAATCCAGCAACAGTTCTGGGTTTTGGTACGTGGCAGCAGATTGTAGACAAATTCTTATACTGTGCTAACTCTTCAAAGCAAACAGGAGGCTCAAAGAAAATTAAAGAAGCAAACTTACCTGCGCACACTCATACAGGAACTACAAACACAACAGGTAATCATTCACATTCAATAACAAAAAGAGGTTATACAAATCTTGCAGCAGGTTCGGATAGACAGGGAATGGATAGATATGATATTTCAAGCGACCCAGTAGATTCAAGCGCAGGTATTTTCTGTGGAACCACAGGAAATCATTCACACACTTTCACAACAAATCCAACAGGCTCGGGTGAAGATTATATGCCACCATTTATGACTATATTCGCATGGTATAGAGTTCAATGAACGCGCTTGAGCCTAGAATAAAATCTTTAACTTTACATAAATGAGCTTGAAAGAAGTATTCGAACAACATCCATGGAGGTCATTTAAGAAGTTCAATGAAGCTGCAAAGAGTTGGGGATTTACTAACAGAGCTGAAGTGAAAAGGTTCTTTGACAAAAATGTTGTACATCAAACAAAAATAAACCCTTACGACTACTTTTTACCAATTTACTCCAACACTCCTGACGCATACCAATTTGACACTCTCATTCAAAGCAGAAAAGGAGGACATAAACCATTCCTCATCTTCATTAATGTTAACACTCGTAAAGCATATGCATATCCAATGAAAAATAAAGGAACTCATGAAGTTTTAAGAGTTTTACAAAAGTTTGTAGCAGAACATAGCCCAAGTACTTTAACATCAGACCAAGACAGTGCATACCTCAGCAATGAAATCACAGATTTTCTCATTAAGCATAACATAACTCACTACACTACTGAAGACCATAACCATAACATACTCGGCATCATAAACCGCTTCATAAGAACGCTCAGAGATTTAAACCAAGAGCGAGACTTTACCGAAGAAACAATGAAACATTTTCTCGAAGTATATAATTCCTCAACACATTCTACAACAGGACATACACCAAATTCAATGACACAACAACAAGAAGAAAAGTATATACAAAAGAAACGAAGCCAAACACAAAATATCAGAAATTCAACACAATTTACCCTCATTCCTGGTACAAAAGTTCGTGTAGTTCTTGACGACAAACCGTTGACAAAGAAACGTTTAAGGTTAAGTAGAAACTATTATATCGTAGACTCTACGCAAGGTAATGGATATCTTATAAAAGCTGCTGACGACTCTATTGCGTTTTATCCTCGTCATAAATTAGTTGAAAGTAGTAATGGCAAACTTGCTGAAACCATTGACGAAGCAAAGCGAGGAGTGGTTATTGAAATACTTGGCTACAACATAAACGATGACACTTATAAAGTAAGATATGAAGGAGGCGTTGAAGATGTTATACCATCTAAGAACTTGAGAGAGTCAAAGCCAACACATCTGGGACCATTAGAGCGGGAGTACTGGAAAGACAAAAATAAGCCAGAAAGAATAAGAAAATTCTTCTAAACTTTTTCATTAGATGTAAATCAGACATGAATGAGAACAGTCATGATATCATTAACGGTACCATTTATTTTAACATAAAGACGCAAAGCGGCGAGGACGAAGTCCATGAACAAAAATATAATTTAGGTGAAGAGGTGAGATCTCACCCGTTTTTTCACCTGTTTTTTCACCCTCGTGAATTTTCATGAATTTCCTTAAGATAGAAAAAATAAAGTTAGTTTTATTTTTATTTATTTTTTTATTTTGTATAAAAGATATGATTTCAACAATCGGCACAACAACAATTCAAGCCACAACTACAGCACCAAACTCGCTAGTCATGAATCCTACGTCAATGTTGGTAGAGATGAAAAGCTTTATTCCTTCTTCATATACTTTTGAAACAGAAATCCAGAAGATAAAGCAAGAACTTTTAACAAGTAATTTAGACTGTAGTGCGAAAGATGAAACAAATGAACAGTATCTTTATGAAATGGAGGACCTCATCGACCATTTGCCTAAACTACCTGAAATTCAGCAGCAAAAACTAACTATTCCTGAATTCGACGAAATTGAAGTCAAAGCAACTGACTCAGTAGAAATTAAGAAATTCATACGTAAAGTAAATTATGAATTCCTTGGTTTTCATTGCAACCATAAAGTTATGGACAAAGATTGCGACATGGTTTATAAAAATATTTCTGACCTTTACAAATCCGAAGAATTTAAGACATACGATAACTTTGTTTCATTAGTTGCAAAATGTGTATGGCAGATAAGAGATAAAGATAGAAGAGGTAAGGTATGGAATGAACAGATAAAACCAGCAGCTTTTGAGTTAAAGAAAACCATTGACGCCTTAGTTGTTCTAGCTGGTTTTATTTCAATGTATAACGCAAAAACGATGCCGCAATGTTCAAAATGTAAAGCAGCAATAAGAAAATATAACTACTCAGTCAAAGAGATAGAAAGAATGCGAAACGACTATGCAGACTTAAAGAAAGAAGCAGAAAAGCCAGCAGAAGATAAAATGGATATGTTGACATTTCTTAATAAAAACTATCCAACAGCAGAAGATTTCCTTCTGTCTGACGTCAAGAAGAAATATAAAGAAACCTTCGGCATTGTTAAAACTTTTGATGTACTAAAAGAAGAAATAGAAGCTACGAAATTGTTTAGGATTTCAAATATACATCGTACAATTCATGTAAAACGCTTGTGAAAAATTAGGTGAAAAAACAGGTGAAAAAACAGGTGAGATCTCACCTCTTCACCTCAACATTATTTTTATTGAATTCAGCACAAAAATAATGAATTTCATTAGTTATTTTGTATGTAAAGACAGTAATGACAAACATTGAGTTTGAAACAGTTAGAAAGATAGACAATGACACCAAAGTGGTTAGAATAGGTGATTTAAACGTAAGATACTCAAAGAAATACAACAAATATTCTTTGTCAGACATTATATCTCCATCTGGAAAGAAAACAAACGACTGGGTTAGAAATGCTTCAACTCAGAAAATTTTGACAAGAAATCCTGAGCTTATGATATCAGTAGCATTTCATGGAACAAGAGCATATCTTATAGACAAAAGTCTTATACCAATAGTTTTGTTATGGTTAGACCCAGTTGTTGGATATAACTTCATAACATATGGTTCATTCGATACGGAACGTTGCAGTGAAGGCTTACTTTACATCGTTCAGAAACCGAAGGACTTCAACACAAAAAGATATAAGATAGGAAGGACATATAATATAACTCAAAGATATGACAGTACAGTCAATAGAGTCAAGGTTGTGTTTGTTAATGATATGAGAGCTGCTGAAACAGAACTGCTTGAAGTTTTTGAGAAAATGTATGGTGCTCCCACGAAAGGTAAAGAAACGTTTGAAGTAGATGAGATAGATAAAGCTATAAAATTATTTGACGAAGTTGCTGAAAAATACATGTAAAGCGTTTATTTTTGGTCTTTTGTGAAAGTCAGAAAATAAAGTTAGTTTTATTTTTATTTATTTTTTTATTTTGTATGTAAAGACAGTAATGACAACATCAGAGAACACAACAACAGTTATAGTCCATGAAGCTATAAATGAAGAATACGAATACATACAGTATAACAAACAGTTCGCTCATTCGTTCGGTCAAAGACGATATGTACCAAATGCAAAGTATAATGAATGCTCTTCGTTCTACAAAGCAAGCATATCATTGGTTTGAAAACCAACAGACAAAAGAACTTTTAGAAGAATTTCCTCATATGATTGCTTCCCTCGGAAAACCGAGAGAAGAGATTCCGTACGAAAATCGCAAGAATTTGGCTCCTGGTTTGAAAGGTTATTATGTTCATAGACTTTTAGTAAATGCTGTAGCAATGTGGGCTTCACCTCGTTATGCTTGTTATATTTTCATGATGTTAGATGAACTATATAAAGCAGAACGTGGAGAGATGGAAAAGAAACTTCAAGCAAAAGATGAAGTCATTGAATCCAAAGACAAAAGCATACAGAAAAGAATACCGCGTTCAGTACCAAAAGGAAAGGAAAAGAGTTATAGGTATATGATTTATACTGAAGAGTTGGAGAAAGAAGAAGATAAAGATATGGTTATGTTGCATTTAGTCAGAAGAAACAACAAGAGCTTTTATGACTTAGCTAAAATATATAAATCTGACAGAAACTGGTTCTATCGTGAAAACTTACCGATTTCAATGACACCGAATGAGCAAATAAAGGAAATTGTCAAAAATACTCTTCCTCAAACACACTATGACATCAAAGGTTGCACAATACTTACATTCAAAGAAGACTTAACATTACTGAAGGAAAAAATAACAGAATATTTCGATAACTTCAAAGAGGAAGAATAAAAAAATCTAAGCTAATTTTATTTTTTTATAAAATTTTATCTCATATGAAAGAACATGAATTTAGAATATTCGGAACTCATGACAGAAGAAGAGAACGAACAACATGTAAAAGATTATGCAAAATTTCTGAAGGTATATAAAGCTTATGAAAAAGCGTATGAAAAGTTTATACATTGGGGAATTGTTGTAAAATATCGATATGAAGACTAACCAAAAATATATTTTTGCTTAAATAGCTTCAGGGTCTATTTCTTCAACCATTTCACTTCCTTCGTCAATGTCAATAGAAGCTTCTTCAACCTTTGGTAAGAATTTCTGTATAACATCTTTGTTCGTTATTGTCTTCAGAGATGAAGGATAATATTTCACATTTGTTTCACCCTTCTTATATTCTTTCTGTTCGGAAAGATTTAAAGCAATACTGAAGAAGTCAATGTTAGAGTTCTTTATGACAGTATAATGAGTATCTTTGACATTCACGAAGAAACTCTTTTGTTTCAAAACTACTGCTAACTCTGTGAAGTATAACGTTTGCGGTCAATGACGATAGCTAATGGTCTGACATACTGACCAAACTTAGATTCTTTCACAAACTTCTTGTTAAAGATAACATTAACATTTGAAGCATTATTGAACTCATTCTTGATGGCAGTAGCGAGAGCATTGTATGAAAAGAACTTGCAATCTTGCATGTGTTTCATTAAAATAAAAATATTAAATTATTTTGAAAAATAACTTAAAAAAATCTAATCTAATTTTTTCAAAAAATATTTTTTTTATTTCCTACTAAAGATGTATCGGAAGTTGTCTAAGTTAGAACACTCGGAAATAAAACAACTTCTTACAGAAGCTAACATAGATGTTGCAAAACATTACGCAACAAACAAAAAAGCACTCGCTGACTTCATTAAAGACTATAATGGTGCAATAAGTTATGATAGAATTCATGAGTTCATAAAGCCGCAACGCGGCGAGGACGAAGTCCATGCAAGAGCATTTCCTTTAAATGACGTTGCTATTGACTTATATCATAGACGTTCAGTACCTCATGAAGTAAGAAGAGAAATGTTTGACATAACAAATGCAAACGTTGGTGAAACAAGAAGAAGAGACGACACACTGAAACAACAGAGAAGAGAGATGTTTAAGAGCGCTATAGAACAAGTTCGCAAAGCTAACGATGTCATTCGTTCCATTGACGACAAACCAAAAGAAGGTGAGAGATGGTTAAAGAAAGATGAAGAGAATAGGAAGAGAAATGTGAAGTCAGGCAATAGACTCATTGACTTTAACATCGAAGCTTTAGATGAACCAAACAGAGACTACTTACACAAACATTTCGGTAAGGTTTTCATGAGACTCTTAGAGAAAATTAAAATAAACTCACAACAGAGATGGATGGTATGTTATAAACTTGGTGGAAAGTATGAATGTTCTACGTTAAACCTCAATAATATTGGAACATTACTACATCAGCTCTTGAAGGAGAACTTTATATCAGAGATAGAAGCAAATGCTGCAGGTATTGTTGAAATGCACTATGACTTCTTCTTGACAAACATAAAGAATCTTACCGAAATAAAGATGTATGATTTAACAGAATATGAAGGCTTAACGATGTCAGATGTAAAGAAAGGCAAACCAAAAAAGAGACCATATAGAGATGAAAGCACACTGACAAATGACCAGAAAGCCATTTTGGAAGCTCTTAAGCAAACAGGAAACCCAGCACTTATAGAAAGCTTTTGGAAAGATAATGGTGAAAAGAAGTTTTATAAGAAGAGAAGCGGTCAGTTCTGGAAGTATCTTTGCACATTACCTATAAATCTTGAGCGCTACCAAATCTTCAATGAACTGAACAAAAGAACTGCAACACTTATGACAGAAGACAATTGTTTCGTTTATGCTTGCATTCAGGCTGGAGTAGATGGAGAGACTATTGACCACATGAGAGAAGTCATTCGTGTTAGAGACTTTCCTCAAAGTAAAGTACAAGAAATTTCTGACGCAACAGGTATAGCATTTAATGTTACCATTGGTTACTTCAATGACTCAAGACATAATGAAATAAAGAGATACATACCAAAAGAATGTGAAACTGTTAGAACTATTGACTTACTTCTTGTTGAAGACCACTACATGCTAAATGAAAGATTACCAATGACAACATATTTCGTCAGAAATTACAAAGAAATTCTCAAAGCTTGTGGTGGAATGAACATTGAGAAACAAATGAAGATTTATACAAAGAGAGAAGATAAATATGTAGTTCGTTATGATAGAACAACACCGTTATGGGATGTTATGAAAACATTGTGGGAGTGCAAATATTTCGAACCTATTTCTTATGGAGAACTTTTCACATATACGACTGACTTATATAAACAGAACCTTGCACCATTTAAAGATTTGACATATGCTCCAAAGTATTGTGTACAACTGAAGAAGAAAGCCGAGTCAAAAGAAGTAAATAAAAATAAGTGCAAGTTCATTCCTGAGCACGTTTTCTTTGCTGACTTTGAGTGCAGTACCGATGGCTTTCATAAAGCTTTTAACATATGTTACGACAGTGAAGATGGTTCAGTGAGTGAAAGCATTTGGGGTCAGAACTGTGCAACAGAATTTTTGGAACGACTTCCTGACAAGAGTTTAATATATTTCCATAACCTCAGTTATGATATAAACTTCATCTTAAGACACATGACAGAAGTGAAAGGAACTCCCATCATTAAAGGTTCACGAACAATGCAAATAACTGGCTTATATAAAGGAAGGGCAATTATTATAAAAGACTCTTACAGTGTTATAAATAAGAAGCTTAAACTATTTCCTGCTATGTTTAACTTACAAACAGGACCGAAAGAAGTATTTCCATATAACTACTACAGCAGTACTTTGTTAGCAAATGACAACAGAACTGGTGTCATTTCTGAAGCATGTAAGTTTATCCGGGATGCAGATACGTTCATGAAAAACATAGATTCCATCAAAGGTTGCAGAATAGATGAGAACCACTTCGACTTAGAAAAGTATAGCACATTTTATTGCAAACAAGATGTAAGAATTTTAAGAGAAGGTTTTGTTAAGTTCCGCAATGACATATTGAAAGAATTTGATTTAAACGTTTATGACTACGTTAGTATTTGTTCAATTGCTAACAAATTATTTGAGAACAGAGTGTACTTCCCGAATGGAAATTTATATGACCTCTCAAATAAACCAAGAGAATTTATTTCACGCTGTATTCAAGGTGGAAGATGTATGCTGTCAGATAACATGAAACAAAAGAGAAAGAGAAACTCATTGCTGACTTCGACGCTGTTTCATTATACCTTCAGCTATGCAAGACTTTATACTTTAGAAGGTATTACCGAAAGTTATTGAAGAAAGAAATGTTAAGCACAGAGTATCTCATGAGACATTTATTCGATGACGACCAAAAGGAACCCATTGGTGAAAAGTTTATGTCTGGCTTCTTTGTTCTCATTAAGATAACAGAGATTGGAATACATAGACACTTTCCTTTAATAGTTTGTGACCCTGAACTAAATCCAGAACTTAACGTTCCCAGAAGTTCAAACACTTGCTGTTTAATGTATGTTGACCATATAACATTACAAGACCTCATAAAATATCAAGGTGTCAAATGTGAAGTGTTGCAAGGATACTATTACGATGGAAACAGAGATATTAGAATAAGAGATGAAGTAAAGAAGTTGTTTGAGTTAAGGTTAAAGTATAAGAAAGAAGGAAATCCTTTGCAAGAAAATATAAAGCTCATTCTGAACAGTATTTATGGCAAAAACTATTCTATCTCCTATTGAGTCAAAAATAACCATAGTAAATGACAAAGATGCTATAAGATATGCCATCAGAAACTACAACCATATAGTGAAGTTCGAAGGTTTGGATGGTTCAGATAAAACTATTTTCAAGCTAACGAAAAGCATTTGCAGACACTTTAACTTCTGTCCACTTGGTGTTAACATTCTGTCTATGTCGAAGAGAATAATGTGTGAAGTATTCTGTACTGCTGAAGATATGGGAATGGACATCTTTTATAGCGATACGGACAGTATGCATCTCTACAATGAAGATATCCCTCGTTTAGCTGAAGAGTTTGAGAAACGTTATGGAAGAGTTCTCATTGGTAAAAACCTTGGTCAATTTCATAGCGACTTTGCAGAAATCACAAAAGATAAACAAAGTTTAGCATACAAGTCAATATTTTGTGGAAAGAAGACTTACATAGACTTACTCACGAATGATTTAAATGAAGTTGCATTTCACTGCAGAATGAAAGGCGTGAAGCAAGATGTTATTGCTTTAACCGCTAATGAAATGTTTCCTGACTCTGTTCAGTGTTTCTATGATGAAGATAAAGGTTTAATGGTTCCGCAAGGAACATATGACAAAGACTCTGAGTTCAGTTTAATGAAACTTTACAAAGCACTTCATGATGGTCAAGAGATTGGATTTGACTTATGTAAGTCTTCTAGTCCTTGCTTTGCTGAAAAGTTTAACTTCTCAATAACGACTAAAACAAGCTTTATTCGTAAGTTGAAGTTCTGAGGTCATTTATTTTTGTCAGCAATGAGGTCATTCGTGATAAAAATAAGCCGCTAGCGGCAAGGGCGAAGCCCATGTGGTCATTTACAATACTGCGATGGTAGAGTTTAAGAGTTGTGCTTCAATGTAGAGACAGTCCTTATGGTCTGGAGGTAAGAACACTGGTGCTTTATGGTCATGAGTGGAGAACATGTCTATCCAAAACTCACGATTGAAGCCAGTTAATTTATAGTATTTAGGATTTGGCAGTGGTGTAGTTCTTGTATGACCAATGAACTCATTTTCAACTCCCTTACTTAAGTTTGAATATAATATAGCTTGCTTTCTATCCCAAATGCCTGGAAATCTAATTTCGGAAAAATCATTTTTCCTCGGAAGCATTGCATCATAATTGAAAACATTCTTGAAATCATCACTTGGTTCAAAGATTTGAAATCTTATACGTAATGGATTTTCTTTCTTTTTAGCGACTTCATTGAATGGTGAGAATACAATGAATTGACAGTCATGTGTTCCATCTTCATTTGGTACAAACTCGTAATGAAAAGCTATTAATCTTTCTACAATTCCTTCTTCTTTCAGTTGTGCAAGAAACTCACGTAAAGGCTGTAAAGTTTGTACTTCAATGTTAAACTTCTTTTGAAAATTTTCGTAAAATGTAATTATACAGTCTTCTAACGTTGTATCGTCTTTAAAGTATTTGTATATGTGAATGTTTTGGGCGCTTAAAGACTGTTCGTCATTTTCTATCTCGACTTGAAGTATAAAGTCAACCTTTCTGAAAGCACGTGTTATATACATATTTGTTATGCCAATGTACTTCTCTTCATTTATGTTCACAATCCAGTCTGTTGGAAACTTAAACGTTACTCTGTTCCCCTTTATTTTGACGTCAGGGTTTTCACTACTGAACGCAACAGATAAAGGTATTTGTCTATACATTTAATTCGGATAAAAATAAACCATTTACTCTTTCTTTGCTTTTGCTTCTTCTCTAGCTTTTGCTTCAGCTTCTTCTCTAGCTTTCTTCGCCAGCAAACGTGGGTTCTTTTGTCTTCCAGCAGCTAATGCAGCAAGTTGTTTTTCACTAAGTTTTCTCTTTGGTCTCTCTGGCTTTTATTCTTGTTTTTGTTCCTTCAGTTCGGATAAAATTTGCTCACGAATTTCTTTCTTCAATGCTTCAACATCTATAACCCCTTGGGTCTTGTCCGTAGGGCTTGTCTGAGTCATTTGACTGCAGATAAAAAACAAAATTAAAACTTTAACCGATGTAAAATGAGCTTGTCAAAATCAGAGCGAGAGTCTATTATATTAAATGACGCAAGAGGAATACAACATCCTTTCTATTACGTAAGTCAGAGTAAAGATGGTAAAATATACGTAAGAAAAAGAAAGGTTCCATTAGCGAATGCAGAAAGCGACAACATTAAGGTGCATGGCAAGGGTGAAGTCCACGAAGCCCATATAAAACCTTCTGTTCAAACTGAGCCACCAATAGAACCAGAAGAAAAGAAGCCAGATGTACTTTCAATAACGAACCAAGAGCTTATTGCAAAGTTCGTGAATTTCATTGAAAAACAAACCGAGTCAAAGAACCCTGACCCACCAGTGAAAGAAGTTGAGACAAAAGAGAATGTACAGTTCATTGAAAATGTCAAGAAACAACTTCCACCACGAATGCCAAGAAGAAGAGTGAGAATAATGAAGTAAATAGATATTTTTATCTGAAGTAAATACATGCAGAACGAACAGCTAAACGAATTTACTCCAGCAGAGCATATTCATCAGATTCGCTCATATTTCGATATCATAGACAATGCAGTTCAAATTGGTGACACTAATAGAAAATATTCTGACGCAAAGATTCCATCACAACCTGGAACTGCTAAAGATAACACATGGGTAACATTCAATCTCTCACCTCCTGGTGAAAATATGTTGGACCTTTACAATACATTCATTACGTATAAAATGGAAGGTCAATTTATTGTAGATAAAGAAATTGGTTCAGGTTCCAATAAAACAAACCCACCAGGATTTTGGATTGGTTTCGATGACGCTTTCTATGCAGTTGCTGGATATCAAATCCTTGCAAATGGTCGTATCGTATATTCTCAAGACAACGCAAGAGAAGAAGCGTATATAACTTCAAACTCACAAACTACCGAACAAATAAAGAAAGTAGATGTTTTCTCAAAGACTCGACATGAAGATGTATGGAGTCATTCGGGAACATGCAGAACAGGACAAATTGTTAGTGGGCCGATTACAGCAGGAAAATCATTTGATTTTAAGCTTCGTTTAAGAATTCCTGTTAGAAGATTCCTTCCATTAGAAGCTATTCGATTTATTCCAGCTTTTGCAGGAAACATTCAGCTTAAAGTAAAGTTCAGTAGCGACGCCTTACAATGTACATCTATATCTGTAAATGATATCATTGCTTTCAATCCAACTCTTAAAGTTGCATTTGCTTCAGATTCAAATCCACCGACAAATAAATTTGTTCCATGGAATGAACCATTCACTATGATAACGAAGGCAGTAGAAGCTAGTGGAACAGTTACTATTACAACTGTAACCCAGCAACTATTTCGAACAAAGATGGATTTTAATGAATGTTTCATTCATCCAAAGTCATTCTCTTTAGACCCTAACATTTATACAGAACTTGTAGAACATTATACAAACGAGGCTTTATGTTTTCCTGTTAAAGTTATGGATTGGATTCCTATGGACGGTTCATTCTCAAAGAATACAGATAGTTCAAGTGCAACATTTACAGCAGCTTATACGCCTATTAATGTTAAAAGTATTTGGGCACTATTTAGAAAGAAAGACAACTATTATGTTAATTTTGAGAACCCTAAGTTTAAATATCTTCAGCTTTCCATGGGAGCTTATGGAAATATGCCTGCAGAACCCGAAAAATCATATGGACCTGTATTTTATGAAATGGTTGCGAACACCTGCAATACAAACAATGATATGATAGGATTTAATGAAGATGTTATGAGGTCATTGGTGGATGATGGTAGTGTGGAACATAAATGGGATAGCTATGACAACACACATTTCTTATGTGGTTTTCCAACAGAAGTGGACTTTTGCTTCCAGCAAGGTCAAACATCTACTGCTCCAATAACATACAAATTGTCTGTTAAAGGACCTATTGAACTAGCAACTGAAAACGTACCAAAGCCACTTATTGGATTTATGAGGGATTGTTGCTTTGCCATTCAGGTGCGTGCTAATGGCATCCCCATAATAAGATTAGATGACTATAACTTAGCTACGGACGACAGTGAGGAATAAAGGATGAACGTTTATTTTTAAAGCTTAAAATGAGTTCTTCATCAAGCTCTCGTGAACCTTCACCATCTATGAAACAAACTTTACCAAACGATTATGGAGCACCTATTGAATATTTCTTACGAGCTGCGCAATGGCAAAGAGCAGTCTCACCAAGGTTAGGTGTTCACCAGCTCCTGTCAAAAATAGCATTTGGTCAAGTCCTTATATAAGATATGGTCTCCCACTAGGTTTGCTAGCTACAGCAGGAGCAGTTATGATGTTGAAAAGAAATAAAGCAAATGTTGTAAATAATACTGAAGTAGCTGAAGTTAAACAAACTCCAACACCTTCACAAGCAAAACCTTCAATGACTCCTGAACCTATGGAAGTACAAACTCCTGTTCAAAAGTCAACTCCTAAACCGACTCCAACATTTAAACCAGAACCTACTCCTCAAATAAATCGTAAAACTCCTGCGTTTCCTTACTGAAAAAATAACGTTATTTTTTATTTAATATTAAAATTTTTATTTGATTGAAATGACAAATAAAGTCACTGAAGCAATGAAACAAAAGTTTTTGGTAGAATACATTAAATCAGGAACTATTCCAGAAGGTTTTTACATTCATACTATGAAGGATGGTAGAGTTCAGTTTAGAAAGATAAAGCAACCATTAGATAGAGAAGGTATATTAAGGAAGATTAAACTTCATGAGGACAACATTGCTGAACTTAAGAAGAAGTTAGAAGAGTTGGAGAAAGGAAGAGAGTTATAAAGCAATGAATTCAACAGGGTGAAAAAAGAGGTGAGATCTCACCACTTCACCTAAATTTATTTTTGTGCTATGTTTTCATACGTGTGAGGGTGGTGATATCATTAATTTTTAAGTTTATTTTTTATTTTACTGAAAATTTTTATTTGGATGTAAATGACAGAACAAAAGCAACTCATACAAATCGAAAAATATAACAAACATACATTTAAACATTTATTCTTCCTTCCTGAGTATAACATGTTCTTTCAAATACATCCGAGACCAGTTGACTATACATTGACTGTGTATAAAGATTGTCATGGTAGTTTTATAAAAACTTATGATGATGAAGGTAAGTTAACAAGACTATGCATTTCAAAACTTGAGAAACTTTATGACTTCAAGTATGACTACAATAGAGTTAACATTGACGATGAAGATATAGAAGAAAATTTATGAGAACGTTTATTTTTTCATTAGTGAGTTCGTTAGTGAGGTGAAGTGGTTGGCGGCTTTGTAAATATTTAATGTTAAGTTAGTGTTGTCGTTTGTGTTGTAAAATATACGTTAGCGGTTTTGTAAAGTGTCAAATTCACATATAATGGGTAAGTAGGTGCGCAGTGCCACAGTACCCAACTAACCCATACTAACTAAGAGAGCTGAAGGACGCGAATTCGCGAGTCCAGATGATCTTGAAAATTTTGTAAGAGAGCAATTTGAGCAATTTTCTCATGATGATTTAAAGCGTGTCTTTGAAGCCTGGATCGATCGCTGCGAACGCGTGATTGAATCCAATGGTGATTATATTTAAATAAACTTTATATATATGTAACTTGTTTATTTCTATTCGCAGTATTCAGGTTTGTGCTAAACACACCTTTGGACACCCTATATTTTTGTCAAATGTTTCGCTTTCAATGAATACAATAAATGAATCTTTGTCATCGTCCATAATTGATCTATATATTGTATTTTTTTCATGAAGATCTAATGTATAATTTCCATATAATTTTTGATCTCGATAACTGATTGGAAATCCATATTCCTTATTAAAGAAGTATTGTAAAGCTTGATGTTCCAAAAAACCAGGTTTTATCTGAAATTCTTCATAAAACATTTTGAAAATGAGCCAATATGATTTCAAATATCTATTATTAAATCTATATGCGTGAAAACTGGACGGAAAGTTTCCCTTTGGTAAAATATTTGTCTCAATAGCAATAGTTTTCAGCTTTTTATAAATTTCTTTTATTTCTGTGATATTTGTTGTGTTAATACGCGCAAAAGATGATATGATTTCATGATGGTTTCGAAATCTTTCTGTCAACTCTTTGTACATGAGTTTGTTATCTTTCTCTTCACTCATTAATTTGAATTCAAATAGCAAAGTCGTAAAAAAGTCGAAAACTTAAAGTCGTAAAATAAAATTTTCAGAATGCACACGAAAACAATAAAATCCTTTTGAGTAAAAATGTTTTAATGTAAAAAACTTCCAGGTCTCGCAAATGAGTACGCTTAAATTTACAAATTCACTCAAATCTCAATTTGAAAGTATCTCATTAATGCCAAGTATTATATTAATTGACATATAGAGCTTGGTTTTCTGATCTAAATCTCTTGATCGGACAGAAAATTAAATTTGTTCAAATTTTCCTCATAACTTCATCATGACCTTTGCGAATACCAGCGTTTAACCAAAAGATTATTATAATAGCTTATATAGCTCAATGTTGGAAGAGTAATGATGTTAATTGCAAACTCGGCAATTTTGAAGGCAAAACGCCTGACTTTTTGGCAAACCCAAATTTTAGCTAAAAGTGACAGGGAAAAAAACGTTTAGTATTAAAAAAAAGACCGATGAGAGCTTCGTTCGAAATATAGAGGGAACTGAGAATGCGCAACCATTCTCAGGGAATATTGGATGCTATTCCCGTTCCCTCTGTATGGAAAATTGAGGTTTTCAAAGGGAGTTAAAATAATATCAAATTTATACTAATTTACTTCAAAATACAAAAGTATTTGACAGCTAAAATTAGTTACTTTAGCAAGCCTATCAATACCCTTTTACGATTATTGTTACTTTTTCGAAATAAAAGTAAAAACAAATTTATACTAATTTACTTCAAAATACAAAAGTATTTGACAGCTAAAATTAGTTACTTTAGCAAGCCTATCAATACCCTTTTACGATTATTGCTACTTTTTCGAAATAAAATAAATTTATTATCAAAAACCTTTTTTTTTCTTAGTAAAAATAAACGAAATTTTTTACCTTATGAACTTTTGATGGAAATATGCAAATTTAAAATAATAAAGAAAGCCGCGAGCGAAGCGATCGGCTTAGTTCGAAGATTTTGATTCAAATCTTTGCTGATCTGTAATTCGCGGAAGCCGCGAGCGAATCGAGCGGCTTAGGTCTAAGATTTTGATTCAAATCTTTGCTTATATTCCTTAAATTCTTTATGAAACTCGCAACAGTTCCATAAAAAATTTTAAATTCTAAACTGTCGAAATTACCGATCGGGAATCACACCCTTCACGGGTGTGTCACTTTTTACAGGCGTGTCACTTTTAGCTAAAATTACCCCTACTCTGACTTTTTTATTAATTGCGTCTGCAGATAGATGAGCTTTATTATTTCTAATAACATTTCAACAAAAGGTTCTCGATATAAAATATTTTTTTTTTATAAAAATTTGAAATGGAAACTTGGGCATTTAATGTTGGATGCGGATTAATTGCAAGTGCTCCCGTTGCAGCAGGACATTTCATATTAGGTAAACAAATGCGTTACATCGTTCTTGCTTGGCTTTGCGCCTTTGTCGCAACAATTGTTTTAGTTCTTTGCTCACTCAGTGCATTATTCATTAAAGAGAAATATGAAAACGCATGGAAGAATGCAAGATGGTACACTCTTTTGTACTGCGTTCCTTTCGAAGCAGTTGGAAAATGTTTAATCAAATTCTTTGCTTGCCGTCAATCATTCTTACGCTACCCATCTAATCGTGCTTCTATTGGTTTAGCATGTGGTATCGGCTTTTCACTTGCTCATATTCTTTGTTTATATTATCCAATGTTATTCGATCAATCACTCGGTATTGATATTACAGAAAATCACTCCAAGCGTTTTCCAAATGCTCTCGATTTAGCAATTGGATATCATGCTGCCAGCGTTTTCCAAATCGGTGTTTCACTATTTTTACTCAGATTCGCTAACTTGAACATTTTCATAGCCGGATTCTTAGTCATGGCTGCTCAATTTGGCTTTAGCGCTATTTCTATTATACAAGAACCCTACGTAAAGGATCCAATCATGGTTGTTATCGGTTACTTAGTAGCATTAATGGGTGCTTATTCTTACAGATCCATGAAATTTGAAGAACTCGTTAACCAGGACGATAAAGTTCAAGTCGATGATTAATTTTACTTAAAATATGTTCTTTTATGCTCGAAATTGTAAATGGGTTATTTATATCTATTTTTTCATATAATTTAACATTGAAAACATCAATATTAAAAATCAAAATCATATTTACGATTCTATATCAAATATAAATAGTAGACTGAGGAAATAATAAGACAAATATATAATTTTTATTAGAATTAGACCAAAAACTTGATGTTTATTGAAGGATTTCCAAATAATTTTCTTTGTTAAACGAAATTAGGAGCTGTTTGTATTACGTTATTCGATTTTAGGATGAAATGAAAAGAAAGAATTAATATATAACGTATTTAATAAAGAAAAATTATTAATGACATTATGAAATTTGAATAATGATCAAAAATGTGTATTGCGTAGTTAGTTTAAGACAATGAGAGTAGGTATTTTTAATATATAGTATTATTAGCTTATTGCGGAGCTAGATTTTCGAGTAATGTTGGATCAAGTCCCTCATCAATCATCTTCTGACGGAACGCGATAAGAGGAACGCGAATCTTGAGATATTTAAGGTATGGCGCGTATCTTGGGTCGTTTCTAACATCATTTGGATCTGCTTCTGGTTCCGCATTTTCTCCTTCAGCTGCTTGTCCCTCACCCTCAGCAGCCGCTTCACCTTCTGCTGGAGGAGCTGCACCGTCTGGTGGCGGCGGTGGTGGTGGAGCTTGACCATCTGCGCCAGCGCCAGGCGGTGGAGGTGGTGGAGGTGGAGCTGGGGCTCCATCAGCGGCAGGAGGTGGTGGAACTCCTGCCTGTGGAGAAGGTGCTGATGATGGAGGTAAAGGTTGACCAGGAACAAAACCAAGACCTTTAACGGATTCAAGCTTGCTTTCTAAAATTTTTGTGAGAATTTCGATGTTATTTATTCTTTGTGAGACTTCAAGAAGTTTCATATCGCATATATTGCTAAACCTGTTCAAAAAATCAACTGTTCTTTCTGTAAATTGGTTAATACTGGCCATGATACGTGCATGACCTATTGACTCGACGTTGCGATAGTCTAAAGCACCATCCATCTCGTCAAATTGCGGTTTGTCAGAATTTTTTTGATCCATTTTTCGCATTTTCTTGATGTTATTTATGAATGAAACCTATGGTTTTGAAAAGCATTATATTTGATGAATTTGTTTTTATCATTAAAAACTGTATAAATATCATTGCCATCTGATCCAAAGGATAATTAAATTGATTAGAACGAAATCATGCATATGATAATGCAATACGTATTAAATAGGGCATTGTTTTATAGTTTATCATTGGAAAACTTCATTGATATCAAATATTCATATAAAAAAATATCATATTACCTATTCAGTATAATAGTTAATCCATATAATAATAGTACTTGCATTGAGTTACTGTCTTGTTATCCAATATCTAATATTTTGGATAAGTTTGACATTTACTTAAATTGCATGCTATTGTTAATAGATCTAGTAATATATGGTATCATATATGATTTCTCTGATAGATGTTTTGTGTTGAAATTGCAATTATTTTGAAGATAAAAAAATTAACTGATGATTTTTAGTCATAATGTGAATCCAAGCATCAATTAGTCAATTATTCATATTTTTATATCCCTTGGATACTGAAACTTTGTTGAATTGATTTTTTGTTGAAGGTTGTTGAAATTGTCACTTTTCCATCTCTGATGAAAGATGTTTAGTTTGGAAGAATTAGAGAAGGTTCAATTGATTATTTGCTGTATTTTAGCTATTTTTGCCGAAATTCTCTATATAATGACTTGTTCTTCTATTCATTCAAAAATTTCAATTCTTGATTCGAAATCACATTTAAAATTTACAGAATTTAAGCACAAAGTACCATCATACAACTATACAAACGCGTGGTACAAGAATCAGTATAGTAACTACTTTACTTACAGAGATTATTCTAAATGTCCATCATGTAACTATCCAAATAGAACAACTTCTCCTATAAAGAGCACTCCTTCAGATGTAATCCTTGTTTATGCAATCAAAGGAGTAAAAAATTTGATTTTGTTTATTCGAACTCTCAGACACACTGGAAGTCAAGCATCTGTATTCCTTTTTGTTGACACCGAGGCATATAACACAATAAATGCAGAAACAAAAGAAGTTTTAGATAAATGCGGAATGAATATTATAGATATGGGAAAATTCCCTGAATTCGATATTTTCTCCGCATTTTCAATGGGATTTGTTGCGATGCACAACTTCCTGCTCTCAAATCAGAAGTATATAAGAAATGTCTTAATTGTTGACTTATATGACATAATTTTTCAGAGTGATCCATTCACTCATTCCGGCCATATGGAGAAACTTGAATTTGTATCGCAAATGAACTTTTATAACAGTAGTGATACAGATAGAGAATGGATTTCGTTTTATAGAGACTTTGATCCGAAATGGAATGATTCCCTTATCATTAATAGTGGCCAACTTATTGGTTCTTGCTATAATGTTCTCCAGTTTTTAGATCTTTACTTAGAATTTTTTGATCCAAGTGATTACTATAGCGTTCGGACAACGGATCAAGCGTTTTTCAATCTTTTGTTCCTCACCAAAAAGATTGATGAAAGGAAAATACCTTATATCATATATAAATACGATGCATACTCAAGAATCATCGTTACTTTGGGCCTTGAGCCTAGAGAGAGAAAGTTAGGATATGTTAGGAAGTATAAAATGAAAGAATATGTCCCAATTATCCATCAATATTACAAAGTTCCAGATTTAATTTACAGTATATTAGATTCTTGCAAAAGAGAAACGAATAGATGGATTAACTACACTAGTGGATTCACAGATGAGGATATAGAAACATATGAAAAAGGAATTCGATTATATATATAAATATTTTTTTGTTTTTTGTTTAAACTATTGTTAATATTACTTAGGATTGCATTACTAATATGATTATTATATTTGGTTTAGTGTAATGAAAACGCGGTCAAATGAAATTTCTGATTTGAGACAATCATGATGTATTGGTGTGTAATGATATTTTTGAGTATCATTCCATAAATCAGATCAACTTTCTGTGATAATTTCTATTGATTTTATAAAAACGTGACAATTTTGAGAATGCGAATCTGAAATATTGTTATAAATTGGATAGTATGATAATTATTTTGAATAAAATTTTTATCGTATTTGCCAATATTTTCAGAACAAACTCTTCAAAATGTCAGAAGATACAGCAGCGGGCGATTTTGGAAAGAAGAGGCGAGTTTTTTATTTGATTGGTTGTATTTTTGGCACTCTACTATCCTATTACGTTAGATTATTCATTAGTACTCAAAATATAAAAGGCTGTGATAATTTTCACAATCCCTGGTTCGCAACACTATTTATGTCCATAGGAATGGCTTATAGTAACATTATTTATCTTGTAAAGAGTCATAGATCAAAAGATCCCGATCCGAAATTTAGAAAGATACCATTATACCAATATTTGCATGCATTATTACCTGCATTGTGCGATATAATATTTTCATTCTTGTATATAGCTTCAATAATTCAGAATGCCGCATTGAGTTCAGTTATTGTCAGAATTTTTGTTCTTTTCTTTGTAATCATTTTTGAAACACTCATTATGAAGAGGAAATTGTATAAGTATGTAATATTTTCTATATCTCTCATAGTAATTGGTCTTGTAATTTCTGGAATTGGAGTAGGGTTTACATTTTTCAAAAATCCCAACAATCAAGGTAATATTTGGATTGTAATTGCTTTACAAATAGTTGCCCAAGCAGTTTCTGCTTTTAAAGCTATTAGAGAAGAAACATTACTTCAAAACAACGATATTACGCCAGTTTGGCTATGCGGAATAGAAGGAATGTATGAGTTATTAATTATACTCTTCATGATATACCCTATTATTAACTTTATTCCTTCAAAATTTGCAAAAGATTATGTATTCAAAGAAAATTTATGCAGTTCATTCAAAATAATGTTCAAATCGAATATGCTAATTATTGCTTTCTTCCTTTATCCATTTCTTTCCTGTCTTTTTAATATATCTGTACTTGGAACAGAATTCATGTTTAGTGCTGCAAAATACTTAGTTTTAGATATAGTTGTTTCATCAACAATGCAATGGGTACTTGATTTGATACTTTTCTATTCAACTAATGGAAAATTAGAAACAGAACAGCAATTCGGAACCAAGTGGGATGGCTATAGCTTTATTAGACTTATTGGAGTCATTATACTCGTTATTGGGGCCATATTCTACATCAAACTAATGAGATTAAAATGTTTTGAATACGAAGACCCAGATGTATCTGTCTTCAAGACGAATAATGATGATGAACGTTATGAACTTGATTCATTTAGAATGAGTATTGTTTAATTTATTATGATTTGTTTTTTGTTTATTATAAATATTATATATAATAGTAATTATTAGTGAAAAAACAAAAAATGAACTATCTATGAAGGAAATATTATTTCTTTAGTCTGAGAATTTTCCTAAATCAAGAGATAGATACACAACAACAAAAACTTTTTTTTTTCAATAAGACAGCAACATCAAAGCCAAATGTTTCGAGGAATATTCAAAAGGAAGACATAGTATATAGCAAAGGCCAACTTCAAAAAAACTTGTTAGAAGGAATTGCGCTAACCATATCAACGAGAACTTCTTGTCTTCTCACAAAAAGAAAGTTCGTAGTTACTTTCTACAAATTATGATTCCATTTTGTTAATGCAATGAACAGTCATTTTGCTTTATCATCACTGCAATTAATGAGAATGTTAACAAATGTTAGAAATCTTTGACAAAGATTATGAAAGAGAAAAAAATAAAGTCTTGAATTACTCTAAAAATAAAACAAACATTTAATACAACAATTGTGCAAGTCTAATTCTCTCATAGAAATCACGCACATTAACATGGAATATCTTTGTAGAGCAGTGTCCGCCAATCGATTGATCGAACTTAGTTTTAGCTGCTTTGAGAGATTTAGCTTGAACTTCATCTCCGAATTCAAGTAATTTCATATAAACATTCTCGTAAATTGCAGAATTATCAGCGAATTCCAACGCAACGAAAGGAATCAAATCTTCTGTATTTGTTGGTGCTGAAAAATCCTTTGATGTTAATTTCAAAGGCATGATCAAAGAATTTTCATGTAAGAAAGAAATCATATCATCCATCTTCATTGGCTGGTTCAAAGACTTCTTCAGCCATTTGTTATAGAGTTTAGCAATATCAGATGAAGCCATTCTGTCATCTAACTTCGACATAAATTGTCTGAAATCAGAAAAGTTGTTGATTTCTTCGCATCCGATTTTCTTCCAAAGTTCTTTGATGTTATCATCCATGCTTTGGCTTTCTTCTCCATAAATAGCTGCAAGATAATCCAAAATACCATCTAAATCAGTAATTGGCCGATTTCCAAATCCAAATGAACCACTTGTAGCAATTTTAGTGATTCTTTCAGTGTAAAATTTGAGAATTCTTCCGGAACAAAGCTTCTCAAGAACTTCTTTGCCGGCTTGTGTTGCCGCAGCAATAGGAACTGCACAAACTTGCTTTTCATTCATCTCAAATTCGCTGAACATTGGTCCTGGATTGGCTTTTTGAATCATAGAAATGGAATACAAGTAAAAGTGGAAGGCATCAATGCGAAGAGGATGATCTGATAACTGTAGGAAGCGCTGAAGATATGCAAAGTGGCTGGAAGGTTCGTAAGTGCTGTTCATAAGAGTTCCGATGAAATCTAATAAAACCCTTTCGGCTACGGTCCGATGGCCAAAGATTTGAAGGAAGGAGTCAAAACAGAACTCAAATAAGTCTTTGGAATACATCTTTTGAGGACCAAATGATGCTAAATTTGTCAAATAATCTGAATAAATAAAAACCATTGCAGCTTTCAGCCATTTTTCGTTACGAATCTTTGGTTCTGCATCTTTTGGTAATGTGATAAAGAACTTACTATAGTAAACCCTATAATTTTTCTTTGGAGAAGACATTTGATCTAAATAATGCTCCAAAGACTTAAGTGTCTGATCAATATACTGGAATGATGGTTTGTTTTGATCGGAAAGCTTAATTTGAATCTCTCTGAGTTGAGTATTCATATCATCTAATTCATAAACAAATGGATTAACAACAGATGACGAATTTTTCTCATCATAGACTTTAATACCTAATTTCTGCTTGATATCATTAAGTTCTAACTTCAAAGCTGCTCTTTCTTTTATTTGAACATCAATTTTTTCTTGAAGTGAATCGAATTTACTTACATCTCGCTCTGCGTTCTCTTTTGAACGCTGCTTTTCTTCGTTATATGCCTCTTCTATTGTTTTAAGCCGAGATGCACAAAATTCTAAATCAGTTTTAAGGAATTGAACGCGATCCTTGTGGCAATTGAGGATATATTCACGTTCTTGTTTATGTAACTCGATCATTTTTGAGAAAAGATCTTGATTTCTCTTCCAAATTACAGCAAATAATCTTCCTCTTTCTGTACAACAAATTGAAACCTGCCTAACAAGCTCATTGAATGCAACAGAATACCAATGTTGCGCGTTCGTAACTACATCAATCGGATTTTCGGTTGACTCGAGATTTTCTGCCAAAACAGAATTTAACCATTCTCCAAGTAATTCGACTTCTCTTTTTGATGTTGTGCTTCCAGAGTGGAAGTGCATCTGTCTCCATTTCTTTAGTTTAAGTGGTTCTGCTGCTGTAGAAGGGCGTTTATTAATTGTTAAAAAATCTGTGTTTATTAATTCTTTCTTTGTTGAATATGATCCAATTTGGGCTGTTGTAGGTCTTTGATTCAATGCAGCTAAATCTGAATTATTTGCTTGTTTTTTATCTAAAATCGAATCGTTTGTTGCAGTTTTTGGTCTTTTTCTGATAGTAACATGGTCTGTTGTTTTTGCTCCTTTGCTTCTGTTCACTGAACTCTTCTTATGTGCCGTCGATCTATCAGATTCGAGTTCAAATTCTTTAACATTTATATCTTTTTCGGATATTTTAACAGAACTCGGTCTATTAGCTAATGGTAACTTCTTTAATGACTCTAAATCCTTCCCACTTTTCTGAGTCATCAAAAGAAATGAAAATAAATTGCAATTGTTTACAAATTGTACGTTACTGAATTGTTGATTCGATTCATGCTTCAATCAATATAATACACTTATATAATGTAGAAGGATCGAACTAGGAACGTTTAATTGAAGATGTCTGTACGAGAGATTCACGAATTGTTGGAATTTTTACAAAAAATAATCAAAATCAGATTCTCTGAACGAAATGTTAACACCCGTTTATCCACTTCCAAAATAGCAAGCTTTGTTAAAGATAAACATTTGTTGAATAATCTTTTGTTCAGCTCTATTGAGCATTTTTGCTAAATTCTTTACTAATCCAATAATACAACTTCCTTCCTTGGAATCGTTGGATGTGATATTATTATGTTAGTATTAGAATCAAATAAAGAAATGTCTTAATTGAGTTGATGAATCAATAAAAAGGTGTTTTGATGTGGCTGTCATACTGGGTACACTTAAAATTGGCTAGTAATATATCATGTGAGAAAAGCATTGATAAATTCCGCAAGAAATTACGATCTGAAATTTTTCATTATTGAAGATTTTCGTATATCTCATATTGCATTCTTATAAGAAATTGTTAAGAATGAAAAACCTTTAAAAAGAAATGAGTTATTATAATAACGTTGATATCCACAATATAATGATATGAGAATGATGATCGGTCTATTAAGGATAAAAGAATCTGCAACTATCAATGCAATTTAGAGTACATTGGTTAAAATGAATCATAATTTGATATTTACTTATGGAAATAAAAGCAAATGATAAAAAGAAAAACATGTACTAGTATAAAGATCAAACAAAATTTATTAACAATAAGTTCGCGTGGCCTAAAGCCGGAGAAGTTGAAAAGATATAAACAATTTTTCTTCAAAAGATGCATGAAACTAAGGTAGTGTTTTGTTGGTTCGTATAGTTCCGATCTATACAACTGACTTCACTGCTAAGTTGTATACGTTCGGAATATTTTTTTTTCTTTTTTTTTCTGAGATTTACAAATAAATAATAAAAAAATTTTTTTTGTGAGCGGAAATTTTTCTTCCTTCAATCTATGTCAAACCAACTGCGTTCTGTAGAAATCGATTCGCCGAATATAAAGTCAGTATCATGAGAATCACTAGGAGTTTGGTAGAATGCATCGTCGAAAAGATTATAAAATCCGTCATCTAAGACAGGAGTAGATAGAGGTCTAGGTATTGCTGGCTTTGGAGGTTCAGGCCGAATCTGTTCTGAAATAGGAGGAATGGCGAAAAAGTCTGCTTGAACCCTTGGTAAACTCGATGGTACGAGAAGCATATTTGTATCCGCTTCCCTTGGCGGCGGTCTGTAGTCCATGTTAATAATTGGTGTTGGGAATGGCGCTCTCTGTTTGTTGATTGGTTGTGGATTTTTTGGAATCGGTGTAGGATTTACTGTATTCAGTCTAAATGACAGAGGAACTGCTGATGCTTCTGCTTGACGCAATGTCCATTGTCTGATTACTGGGCCATTGTGTTGTAATGCTGGCAATAATGATCCTATAACTTGCCTAACTCTGGTTTTAGAAGATATATAACCTAGGGATTGGAGTCCGTTATTGATACTTGACTTGCACCGGCCTACAAGATATTTTAATTGTCGTGTGTTTACGCAAACATAAGAACCGCCAAAATAAATTCCACATACTATACTTCGAATATCCTGTTGATCGGGTCTCCTATCTATGTATTCGGAGATCCTCATGAGATCTTTCTGGAATGACGCTTGGTGCCTATTCTTCGAAGGAACATTTTCCCCAAGAAAGCTGCTTCTCAGTTGCTGGAACGTTGTCTGGTCATCTTGGCTTAACATGTCCCAGTAAACAGCTGGTGGCTCATGATCTGGCTCATCGATAAGGGTATTGTCAGCGCGCATCTGAAATTTTAATATATCGTATGTAGTATACAAAAATAATCGTCATTTGTCAGAAAAATTAAGAATAATAAAAAAATTATGTTTGTACTATTTGAATCATCTTTGAGATGATAATTGTTTTCTCTACCCATCATTTTTGAGATTTTTTTCTAACGTTATTCTTTCATTTTCTGAAAAGTTGTTACGCATTTATTATTCGAGCTTCTTAATTCATTATTGATAAGTTTTTTTGGAAATCTTATTATGCATTGATTCGTTAAAAAGTGACATTTTCCATGCGGATCGGATTTTTGGTATTCAAATCTCTTATGCCGTGGGATATAAAGTTTCTGGCTTTTTGCGCTTAAAGGCTGGTGCTTGGGGAGCTGCCAGAGCCAGATATATGGGAAAATAATTTTATATTGAGTTTATAATAGACTTAATTACTTCACCAAATAAATTGGAGACTACGAGACACTAACGTATAAATAGTACCTCATAGTCTCCAATTCATTTTAGAAATAAGATAAACTTTCTCCGAATAATTTATCATTCGGACATAGTTTCTCTATTTTCTAATAAATTTTGCTACATGTGAGGATCTCGCCCGAATGCAGCTCTTGGTAGGTAGCAATTTATAGTTAAAAAAAATAGAAACATAATCTATCACTTTGGCAAAGAACTACAGTCTTGGAGACACAGAAACTGAAACATCTCTTAGCAGACTCCAGTTCTCGAATGAAAACTTAGAAACTTTGAGGAATTTCATTGACAATTCGACAAATGGTTTAAACTTTTTAATGAGAGATGTTCAAAATCAGATATGTGTTTGTATTGGATGTCTCATAATGAGTATTCCTCTCTAAAATGATAAAAAAAAAATCAATTTGGAAACATTATTTTCCTTTTTTTATATGAAGTAGAACCTTGTGAAGCATTGATTCAAGATCACCACCTCATAAGATACCATTTCTTTTTCGGGCACCCAAAAAGTTTATATTCATTTTTTGACACGTAAAGGGTCACTTTACGATTTTTGGTTAATTTTGTCACTTTTGGATAATTAAGTTTCCAATTCAAATATCCGTATCGTAAAGAAATATGGCATAACATAGTATTTAGAATTCAAACATCAACTAATTTTTTAAATTGAAAGGATTAGAACGATTAGAAATTTTGGCTTTGAAAACATTATTATAAAAATGTTATTCTATATTCTTGCATTTGCTTCAGCACTTAACAACGAATAAGAGCAATCTCAAAAAATGATTTTCCCCTTCAATGATAACATTTATGCTGAAGAATCTAACACAACCAATACCTCAACACCTGAACCAACACCAAATGACCATTATCCAATTACCAAATACGGAATCATTACAATGTGTGGTTGTTTTGTTTTCGGAGTCATCATCACAATTATTGCAATCATTTGCTATCACAAGAAACCAGAGCTCAATGTAATCAATAATGATCCCTTGCTCCCAGAAAATACAACCAAGAATACATAATTTAGATTTGTTACTAAAATTTAATTCTTTCACTATTTAATTTATAATATATGCTATTTTTCGGGCTTCTTGATATCCCAACAATATTTTCCCCTTTACAAAATAAGATTGCTATAAAAAAATTCCATTTTCATAGATTTTGATCTCGAGAATCTCCGTAAAATGTAATATTATAAGTAATTTAATTCTATGGCGTAGTAGGAAAATTTATAATTGTTCTTGTGTTTCCAAAAAAAAAACAATATTTGCTAAATTTACACAAAACTATGAAATGTTCAAAATATAAACAGTAAATACATTCCATATCTCAAAAGCATATATTTTTAATAATAATATCTCGAAATCGGCCTGATAACTTTCGGGCGATACTTCGCACATCAAATATCCATCGCTAAAATCAAAAACCATTGGAAAAAAATTTACTGGCCTACCTTTTGAATAAATGATAGTATAGTTCACAATAAACAAATAACGAGTTAAATAGCAATCTAATTAAAATAAAAACAAAATATTTTATTCTTCGCCCTCTGGCTTTGTTGGAATAAGTCTGTATTCCGGAGGTACTTCATCTTCTGTATAGAGTCTATCTGAGAAGTAAATACGTCTTACACGACAGTTTGCATAAACAGAGACACGGAGTGTTTCGATGTAGTTAGTACCATATGCACGACGAGTAAAATCACTTAAGTTGAATTGAATTTGGTTCCAACCAGGATCAAGTCTCATTGGGAGAGTGCAAACAAACGGTTTAACACGAGTCTTTGACTGGAAGTTAGATGCACGGAAGCGGCGTCTCATGTTCATATCATCAAGAACTTGGATTTCGAACGTAAAGTACTTTTTAAGGTACTTTAAGACTAAAACCAAGAAAGGAAGTTTGATGGCCAATTCTTCCTTTGGGTCGATTGGGCATGTGATGTATGTATTGTTAACAGTTGTGCTAACGATTTCAAGAACGCAAGATCTAATATCTGGATCTGTTAGTCTTTTGATATAGCCATTTTCAACGTGCTGTTCCCAGATACTAAGTGGCTTTGAACCAACTGAGTAAAAAAGATTTAAGAAACCTGCCTGGTATTTATCTCTGAACATTTTTTTTGAAATGAAATAAAAAAAAAACGTATTTTCCCGCAATTCATGATAGTGATAATAACAAACAGCGACTCAATAAAATAACTCATTGTTGATAATTCACGGTCCAAAAGTTCGATATCAATTAGAATTGGATAAATTTCATTCTCGATTATGTAGTTCTATGTTCAGGAATATGACATTTTATTAAAATACATAGAGGTTACTTGAAATGAACTGAAATTGGTCAGTTATTGCTTAAATTAAAATAAAATTATAAAAATTTAAAAACAAACAACAATTCATTTATAATTAATAACTAACAGTGTTAATGGAGATGATAATCTGGACTCTATATGGCACTCTTGGTTAGGTGGAATATAGAAATCTGAATGTTCTTCAAGTCTATATTGTCTTCCGTTCAGATTCATGACGCCACTTCCATCTAAATGGACTACATGGCGTCCGAATGTTTCTGGTGTGAAATCCATGCTGTCATCTGCTGGAATTGTAATTTCTTCCTCTTTATAAGGTCCGGATACGATATCTACCTTCGCTTTTTTAGTTTTAACATCTTCATCATGGTTTACAGTCTTCTTTTCTTGACTTCGCATTGGTGTTGTTACACGTGAAGCCATTGTAGAGTAATTTTGAATTCCTGCAACATATCTTAAGTTTCCTTCTCCAACACCATATTTAACATGCTCTCCCATCCAATGGCGAAGTGGTTTCACTCGAATTCTTTTAGATCTTCTTAAAGCCATTGGAAGATCTTCATTTTCTTGCTTACTATCATCAATTTCGGGAATTATAATTTGTATATCATCATCGCTTGAAATTACACTAAAATCGTACTTTGGAATTTGAGATTTTTTGGTTTTTGCAGGTTTCTGCGATTCTGAAGTTTCTTCTTTAACTTTCTTGGGCTTGACTTCACTCTTTTGCTTCTCTAAGGAACTAGGAGATCTTTCTTTTTTAATTTTGTTAGAATTTTTAGGTTTTTTAGGTTTTGTCGGATTTTCAGTAGTTTCGGCGGCTTCTTCTTTCTTTCCTTTAGTTTTTTTAGTAGTAGATTTAGAAGTTTTTGTGTTATCTTCTGGATTTTGCTCTTTTGACTTTTTGGTGCGTTTTTTCGTCGAATCCCCTGATATTTTAGGTTCTTTAGGTTTTGGTGGCTCTTTTGGCTTTGTTATTTTTGGTTTTTCAGGAATTTTTTGTTTCTCATTTTCAATTACTGTTTCATTATGGTGTGGAAGTAGAACAGGTTCTTCCACATCAGAAGAACTTGGTCCAAATCCAGTAATTTCATCATCAGACTCAAATTTACTTGTTGAAGAAATTGTGATTGTCTGATAAGGAACAGCTTGAGCTGAGATAGGTTTATTTTGCGTATTTGATGTAGTTTTTTTAAGCTCAGGTGATTCTGTTATATTATTTTTAATTTTTGAATCTGAAAGTGAAGTTTTAGGTTTATTTACTTTTTCTCCAACGGTTCGTTTTGGAATTTCGGCGGGTTGCTCCCAAGAAAAAATTGGCGCTTGCTTTGGCGAATTCTTTTGCCAAAAATCGTTAATATCATCAAAACCGGCTTTTTTTGTAGAACTTTCACTTGCCTTCGGTGAATTTGTGAAATTGCTGACCACTCCTGATGGATCCCAGCCTCCAGAATCCGAAGAACTGTCCATTGAAAGAAGGTCTAAAAAGTGACAACCCGCCATTTTTATCTTTGTGTTGAAATTATTTTTGGATAAATCTTCTAAACACAACAGAATATCAATTGGATTCATGTTTTGCATGCAAAAATAACGAAAAGTACAATATGTTCCCTAGTTTTATCAAATTTAATTCAACCCAGGGACAAATAAGTAACAACGAAAATTATGAGAGGGAAGTACTATCTAAAATTGCAGAACTCAAGAAACCTGATGATGTTAAACGCTTTCATCTCACTGAAATCAAAAAAATGATTTCATTAGCTTACAAAGAAGGAATTTGGAAAAAGATCTTATTTAGAGAATCAGTACTTGGTTGTGGAAGAAATGTGCTTCAAGCGGTATGTAAAAATATTCACCTCAACCTTGTTAGATCTATCATTGAAAATTTTCTGTGATAATGAAACAAATGATAATCAAGAAAGCTCACCATTCATCTATGCATTAAAAGAAGGCCGTCTAGACATTGATAAATATCTTATTTCTGCTTGTGCTGATCGTGAAGGAAAAGATGAAGAGGATTATGGAAAAACACCACTCATATATGCATCATCTCAAATCATTAAGACTTTGTTCAATATCTAATTTCTGCTGGAACTGTTATAGATGGAGCGGATGATGGAAATACAACACTTATGTATGCATCAAGATGAACTTATCCAATGCCTTATTTCTGCTGTAACTTATAAAGAAGCAAAGGATAATGATGGAAATACTGAACTAAGTTGTTCAACATCACAAACATGCTGGATATGATATAGAAGCTGAGGATAATGATTGAAAAAATGAATTGTCACATGTAAGAAACAATGTTTATCAATTCTTGATTTTGATGGGAGCTAGCAATTAAGATTATTTGTATTTAAGTGCATTCTTTTTTTAAAAAAATCATTTAGCACACCATCACTACACAAATTTCTCTCTAGCAGAATTTTCTTTTCAATTTCAAAATCAAGCCGATAGAAGATTTTAAAATGAGCCGTGTTGCTACAGTTCTTCCTCACGGCGAGTTTTTTGAAGGTGAAATAGATGACTTTTTAGCAGTGTGTGACAAATATTTCAATGATTTCTATTCATATTGCACGAAATGGTCTGAAATTTGGGAAATTCTAAATCCGAACATGTGCACATCAGAGAACACACATTTCAATCTTTCTTGGGAGGATGACTGCTCAAAATTACTAAATGACAAAGAATTTCATGATAAAGTATTTTTATCTAATGATTTTTCAAATATATCATCATCACTTAAAGACTTTCTTACAGAATCAAATAATCTTTCACTTAAACGTGAGTTTTCCAGAGAAGAAATTCCAGTTAAACAATATTTTTCATTACAAGGCGAAACATCATTTGACAAAGCTCAAGAAGTGATGCAGTTTACATATGCATTCGATACGCTTCTCAGAAACTTCTACCAAATTGATGATGAAATTTATCATGGAATTGCTTCCCATCAACAGGCAAACGAGGTACTCAAACAAATACATATTGATCAAAAACCAATTTTACATCGCGAAAATATGAGACTTATTGATGTTGGCGCAGGAAAAGGATATCTTTCGATTTTTGCAGCCAACGAATTAAGAATACAAACATTACCAATAGAAGCATCATTAAATCACTCCTGTGCTCTTCTTGATCGTATTGGATGCTTAGTTTCTCAAAAAAGAGCAAATACAGATAATTTCAATATAATGAAGATGTGCATTGGCTATGTAACATCATCTACGAGTGTTGAAGCCATAATTCATAACGCAATGTCCTACGAAAAATGGATTATGACGATGTTACAGATTGATAAGGGACCACAAAGGCATTTACACAAAAAACTGATGCCGCAGAATCCAACAGAAGCTCCTTTGGACATTTCCCAGGTCAAAGGAAACCAAGAAGAGAAACCAAAGAATATTAATGGAGAATTAGCCTGCGAAATCAAAGTTTCAGATGATATTCATGAAAACATTAATGTAAATGATACATTTCTTGTCTCAATTCATGCTTGTGGCAACTTATCAGTTGAATCCCATGAAATTGCTTTGACTTGCCATGATTGCAGAGGTGCTGTTAGCGTTCCATGTTGTTTCCAGCATTTAACTGTTGATAAATGCCCTCTTATCCCTGAAAACAATCGAATCTTTGAATTTATGTTCAAAGGAGACACAATGAAGAGGAAAGACTTCCTGAATCATGCATTATCAACATACTTCTGTGATTACGAGAAGCATAAAGAGATCGTATCTAAATTCCTTCCAAGAGAAATTATTTCTGCATTTATTCCACCAAGAGTGTCCGTCAAAAAGATCAAAAGACTAAAAGATGAGGACGAAGTATCATACGTTCAAAGACTATCTCAAATGTTTGGTGGAAATGCAACAAAAGAAGAAGTACAAGCAAGAATTGACTTTACAACTAAACAAATATGGAGAATGATGGCCCAACAAACAATGAGAGAGTTTTTCGGCCACGCTTTTGAGACTTTTGTTTTAATTGATAGACTTGCTTATTACGCAAAGCTTGTTAAGTTAACAGGTAAGAAGTACTACGTTGGAATGTTCGATTGCATGTCACCAATATCACCAAGAGCTTTTATGCAATTTACATTAAAAATTGAATAAATTGTTATTATTTTAATAAAGATATTCTTTAATTATTTGTTATGTTTGTCCATAATTTTACTGATAAATTAACAAATTTAATTCATCTCAAAATTATTATCATAATTACCATAAAATCAAACAAAATATTCATGTTATCTAATGACAATAAAAGAATATATACTAAATTTTCTGAAAAATATGTAACATTCAAAATTTAAACAGTGAACACATTTCACATCTCAAAAGTATACATGGCACGATGGGCGCTACTTTTTTGGCGCCAGCGGCGCCGCCCGCGCCTCCGGTGGCTCCCACTGGTGGGGAGGAGACGATATAAAAAGATATAAATTTTACTAAAAAAATTGAATTTTGGAAATTCTTTTGATTTTTTTGAATGATTTACGAAGAGATTGAACACATTTTGTACTATGAAATATCGTTATTAATAAATTTACTTCTTAAACATCTATTAAAATCGCAATTTTGAATATTTTTATGATTTTTTTTGAGCCGATCACTTGCGCCCGCGCCCACTGGGAGGGGCGCTTGTAAAGTATTCAAAAATCAATGTAAACATTTCAATTTTTGCTCCCACCTCCCATTGGGAGGGGGGCATATATCTTGTAGCGTTCAAGTTCAAGTGATGAAAGTGCATAAGAAAGCTCCTTAATCATACCGATAGAAACAGCATTAGGGGCGCCAAATGGCGCTCGGTGATGTTTCCCATAAAAGCTTAATTTCAGGTATCCATAATCATAACCTGTCAGACGCAATAATTCATTAGCACACAATCATCGTTTCTCAATCAAGAAACGAAACGCACGATTGATTATGCTGGCCATTAAATTTTCATATCAAATAATTTACTACTTCAAGAAAAATTAAAGACTATCATCAACCAAAGCTTAAAATTCTCAGTGTTTACAACTCTCATACTTCGAATATGCATATTTCCAAAATAGCATGAAAATTTTTTTTTCATTTGAGCTCATTTTCTTTTGTTCTATTAACTAATACATGCAGTACAAGCTTGTTATACGTATACTTAATAAGTAAGGTCTTAAGGGAAATAATAAAAAAGAATTTTGCTATTAATTATATTAAACAATATTTATTTGTAATTTCGTGATAATTATATTTCTTATTACAAAGTAAAGGTATTTGATATAATGTTTGCCTTACAAAAATGTTTCCTTTGTCTTGCCACCATAGGTATTCTATTTTGTCACTTTTTGCGCCCGCCGTGCCATGTATACTCAAAAGAAGATATTGAGTGAGCAAGACATTGAATATAATTTTTAATAATAATATCTCAAAATCGGCCCGATAACTTTCATGCGATACTTCGCACATCAAATATCCATCCCTATATAGTAACTATCCATAGCCAAAATCAAAAATTATTGGGAAAAATTTTGCTGGTCTACCTTTTAAAATCATAACACAACATTTATTTTTCAGAGATGAGTTGATGTTATTTTGCTTGATTCAATCATTTCAAGGAGATATAATTTTTTTCTTGATAAAATTAGGGTATTTTTCATAATCAATGTCATTATGAAAATTTAATCATATAATTTATGAGTTTTACAATATGATGATACATCAATATGATACTTTGAATGAAATCATCAATAAACTTTAAACTTATAACATAACTTTATTCATAATAAATATCGATATCAATATACAAACAAATAAAGAGTGAATATTACTTCTTAATAAAATTAGATATATAGGAAATCAATTATTCATATGAAACAACAACTTTTCCATTGGTTAAGGCTTCTGTTTTACCATCTGGGAAATGAGTTTCATAATCACCATTGGGATAAATAATCTTATATGTTCCATTAGGAAATTGAATTGCTTTATCACCATTTGCATAGTGTTTTTCTTTTTGTCCATTCGGAAATACATAAATAACAGAACCGTCAGGTAAAGATAGTTCAATTGCGTTAGTCTCCTTATATTTGTAACCAACAGCTTTATCAGGAAATTCAATTGCAATATCTTTGTTAACATAAAATATGTATAGATTCTGACCTTTTCTAACTTTCTTAGTTCCATTTCTAAACACAGTTCCTTTAGATCCATCTTTGAAGATAACGACTTTTCTTCCATCTTTCTTTATCTCTTCTTTATAGATTGGACCTGGATTATAATCAAAATCTAATTGATATTTATCATGGATTATTTGCCTCTTTTTGACTTGTTTTATTAGATTGTTATTGCGTTTTCCTTTATCTGAATTTTGTGATGAATTAGTTTTCATGTAATCTCTTTTCAGAATATCATTGATTATTTTAGTTTCCTTAATCTTTTGTGATAGAGGAGATTGATCATCATATTGTGCTTCTTCTTCCTCTTCTTGATTATATCCATCCCTTTCAGCTTTAACAATGTTTTGTTCTTCTTCTTCTTCATGATGTTCTTCCTGATGAATCTCCTCTTCTTCATCATCATTATTAGTTTCATTTTGCGGAGGATCATCATCTGGTGTTATAAATGTTACCTTTGGCCGAGTTTTTGGTTGTTGGGGTTGTTGTTGTTGTGGTTTTTGTTGTTGTGATATTTTTTCAAGTAATTGTTGGCGCTCAATTCTCCATTGTCTCTTTTCATTTTCATATCTTTCTGTAAGTTCATCAATTTTATTACGAAGGTTGATAATTTCTGCGTTTTGTAGTTTGTTGTCTGTAATCATTTTATTTTCTTCGATCTGCTTTCTTTCCTTTTGTAATTGTAATTTCTCAGCCTTAATCCAATTTTCATTCCTAAGGAGATCAGCTTCTCTGCGTTTAACATCACTTAATCGTCTTTGTAATTCCATAAAAGCTTCATGGAAATCATTTTTCTGCGTTTGAGTAATGTTTGTAAATGCATCTTCAGGTCTCATTCCTCCAGGCATTAATTCATCAGGAATATTAAATGTCACACTTTGGCGTTTTCCTTGATTTGTGTTTTCGTTTTCTTCTTCTTTTAAAGCTTTCTCGAGCTGACAAAAAGTATCAAGTTCTTTATCTTCTGCCGTTGTTTCATATCTAATTGGTGAAGAAGGAGTTTTCTTTTTGCTCATAAATACAAATTATAAAAAATGTACGTTTAGAAATTTTAGATTCACAAGAAATGCTTTATAGTTAGAATTTAATCTCTGCATTAACCATATATATATACATTTCTCAATCTAACCACTCATAATTATGAGTATCTTCATCAATCAAAATCAAATTTCATTCATTTGCAATAGTGGATATTGTAGATCATAGCCCACAAACATGTTAGTTGATACAAATATGTCTTCAAGCCTATGATGAAGTTTTATTATTGATTTGCTATATTTTTTTGGAAGGTCAATATTTATTTCATTGTCATAGTCAATTGTAGGACACAATCAAAAAGAGCAGTAATTTAGGATAGAAAATTATTTAAAATAACTTATAAAATAAAAAATAATAACATAAAAAGGATGAAGCACTGATATGAAATACTAGTGTGGATCCAATAACTCAGCATGATCAAATGATAATTGAATATCATTTGTGTTCACGAAAATATCTGTAAATAAAATGAAAAAGAAGGGAATTACTTGTCCAAAAGTCTCCCTTAAAATAAGACTAACAAATTGACCTACAGAACATACAACTTCTAATGCAGAATGTCTTGATATTTCTATTTGGAAATAAATTCTCATTACAACTCGAACAAATAGACCAATTGATGCTAAAATACATAAAGCTAGTACTACTTGATCACTTGAGAATGAAGAGCAAGATAATCTTACTTGTAAGTAATGATACATCAAAAACATAAAGCAGCTGAATATCGCTGCAAGTAGGAAGTCAAGTGATAACGCAAAGTAGTTTTCAAAGTCTCGAAGAATGATTTTTGTTTGGGCAACTGTAATTTGAACAAAAAACGTAATTAAGAAGATTATTAGGGAGACAGGGATAAGTACAATAGATGTGTATTTGATAACTTTAATGAAACAATGTAGATGCGAACTAACGAATGTTAAAAATAAATTGCACCACGTAAGTAGAATTAAACAAAAAGATATATCAACGATATATCCAGGAAACGTTGTCATGAAGAACGATAAGTGTTTGATTGTTTCTTTCTTTTTTAAGGCTGCAGACGCGATCATAACTGAGCATTTCAATAAAAGCATGAAAATAATAAATAATCGCGAAACTTTCATGGAATTTGTGAGTTTGACTAAACGCATTTTTGTTCTCACGTATGAATAAATCGCGAATACGAATAAAATGAAGTAAAATATCCCAAAAATGCTATAAACCGCAATGAATTCGTTTTGAACATGAACATCAGAGCATCTAGATGTATTGTTTTCAAAATACATTGATGGCTTGCTGAGATATCCAATAAAATTTTGGAAGATTATATCGTCATTTTCAATTTCAATTCACCTCATCAATATGATAATTTTTGAACTATATCGAACGTAATAAATATCATGTTTAACTGCAAAATTTTCTAACCTTAAATTTCAATGCAATCATCTTTTCGGCGGATTGATAAACATTACATAGATATTTACCAGTGGAGATAATATCATACGCTTTACATGGGCTATTTTCATCACCATTACATGTATTAGACTATTATTTCATTGATAACTTCTAATGCAGATATTTATGTTATTTTTCAAGGTTTAACGATAATGTCACTTATCACCCATCAATCAGCTAATCTGCTCAAAGCATTAGGCTACTTCATTTTGAGAATTCTTATCCGAATTATTTGATTAGTTTGAAAATAAATAATTTAATGATGACGCTTTAATTTTTATCTCATAAGATAATATATATACAGCAGGCGAGCTAATATGTCCATTTTGATATTTTTCTTACTCATTTGATTTGAAAACTAGTTTAAAAGTTAAGTACTGATGATTTGTAAAAAGGAAATACAATACAATTAAAGCATAAATACAAACAATTTTATTAAAAGAAATAATCGAAACGAATTATCTCATACGAATAATGAGATTAAGTGTATCGTTCTTGTTGATCTTGTAATCTTGGATCATTGAACCATTAATGAGGCGCCGACCGGCAAAAATTAGATCTTGTTGAGTTAATGGAATTCCTTCTTTGATTTGGATTTGCGCTTTAACATCTTCAACTCTATCTGCATTGCTGACATCATATGCAACTGCATTGCCAATAATCTTCTTGATAAGAACCTGCATTCTGAAAAATGAAATGAAAAATTTCTAAAATTTCATAAGATTTTTTTTGCACATAAAATTTCTTTTGATTACTTTTGAGAGGATAAAATTTTACAACTGATAACGTTAAAATTGTCCATGTTAATTATGATTGATGCTAAATAATCTCTTGTTTTACCAAAAACACCTTTTTTGGTTGGCCAATTCAAATTTGAATGAAAATCTCATTGAAATATGAACAGTTGAAAATTTCGAAAATACGAGAAATATTCAAAAAAAAAAAAAAAAAAAAAGGTAGTGGGGCTTCCAGGGGCTGCGCCCCTTCTAGCCCTGTAGTTTTTATTTGTAGGGGCTCCAGGCACTTCGTGCCCTCTAGCCCCTGAAGATGTTTAGTATAAATGAAGTATAAAATGAGGTTTTTTGGGTATAGGGGGCTTCCCAGGGGCTGCGCCCCTTCTAGCCCATAAAATTTTTGAAAGTCGTTGTCGTTGACTTTTCGGTAAAAAAAATAGTATAACTTTGTCCGGACAAGTAAGGGTCTATCGTCGCTACAGGAAAAGTTACAGGCGTTCCAAGGAAGTATACTTTGAGAGACTCTTTAGAAACTTTAGACGTTTTACATAACCATCCATGCTTTTACTTTACATCCGATAAAAGTGGTTTGGAAACCGTTATGAGATGGTTAGAGGACATACATGACTATGAGTTTAGATATGACAAGATAGAATATGAGAGAGGTCCTATAAACCGGAGAAAGTGTCATATAAACATCTGTCAAAAACCGTTTTTTACTTCACTTAAAATGCCACGTAAGCTACGTAAGAATATACGTAAGAGGAAGGGAGCATTGAAACATCCAATAGTAAAACTGACACCACAACAAAAATTGCAACAACAAATGCTGAATGACCCCACTATGTTGCAACAAATGTCAAGCAACCCTATGCTTTTAAACCGAGTTATTGGTGCACAGAGTGGAGGTTTAAGAGCGGCACTTTTAGCGAAAATGGCAGGCTATGGTGGAGCTGCAGACGGAACAGCTTATAACCCTCAAAGTCAAATGAATTTGAGTTCACTCAAAAATCAAATATCAGATGTCAAAAAGTCAAACATAGACATACAGAAGCAAATAAGTGAAAACGAAAAGAAACTAGAATATGACAGACACACAAAGAAACTCAATGAGTTAAACGTAGAGAAAAAGAAGAAGAAGAACAACTGAAAGAACTAAGTACAGAGGAATATGCGAAAAAAGTGTCAGAAAAAGCAGCAGAAGTAGCAAAAATGGAACAAGATGTTATAAATTTTGAAAAACCATACTACTCATATAAAGTACTGAAAGATGAAGAGATAAAACAAAAAGCCCTGAAGACATATATGGATAGCGATGAGTATAAAAAAGAAGTTGAAGCAAATGTAAAGGCAGAAAAACTTTTACAGTTGCAAAACCAAACCGTACAGTATGAAAACTTAGCACAAGAAAGTAAAATAACGACGCAGCCATGCAAAAGGCAATGAAAAGCGCAGAATATATAAAAGCTAACAATGACTGGTTAGATGCCCAAGCAACGCCAAAGCAGCCCAACTTATAGGGTCAATAAGGACAAAAATACAAGCGGATTGAAGACAGTTCAAATGAAGCTTTAATGAATGCTGACTTTAAGAACGCCTTCAAAGCTCTTCATAGTAAGGTGAAACAAGTGAACGACTTCTCATTGGAAAGAAACTGAAGTCTGAAGGTTTCGACAAAGAGTTAAGAGAAGTAGCACAAAATATGACGAAAATAAACAGATGCAGCAACGAGACAGGCAGTTCAAAGTGCCTATGACGCCGTTAGAGCAACTGTTGTGAAAGTCAAGAAAAAGAGTTACAACAGACCAAAACAGACCTAGTAAATGCTTTCTTAAAAACGAAAAGTCAGGTAGGACACTATGCTGCAGATGGAACATATGTGCAGCTGGTGGAACTTATAAACCAGCTGGTGAACTTATATACTAGCTAGTGGAATTTATATACCACCAAACCCTCCAAGAGAAGCACCTGCACCAGGACTACCTAAAACATTTACATCGTCACATGGACATAGACACAGGCATGCACCAAAACCAGCACAACAACCAACACAACAACCAACACAACAACAACAACCAGCACAACAACCACCTCCACAACCAGCACAACAACCACCTCCACAACCAGCACAGCAACCAACAGTTCAAAACACTGCACCACCTCCACAACCAACAGTTCAAAACCCTGCACAACAACAACCACAAACAGAGCAAGGACATAAAAGAAGTAGAGAACAAGGAAACCAAGAATTCTTAAAAATGCTAAAGGAAAAATATGGTTACCCAGATACTATTGACTTTAGTGACAGATATAAAGAAGCTATTAGAAAGTTCAAGGAAGAAAATACTGACCCGAACCTATTTAGCTTTATGGCTCAGCATAAAATCGGATATAATTTCAAACCTGGAAAATACAAGCTCGCTAAGGGATATGATTTAATAGCATATCGTCCAAATGACATGACTGAATTTACTCCGAGATATTTTATGTCAGAGATAAATGACAATTCAACTCTCTTCATGAAACGCGTAAAAAATAGAGACGGAACGAAAGAAGAAAGGCTTATGAATGCAGATGACTTAAATAGGGAACTTGTTAAAAACGGTCTCGGAATATATGAAATGCCAGCAGATGAGGTACAAGAAACTCCACAGGAAGAAGTTCAGATACAACCAGACATGGAAGAAATAGTTCAGCAACAACAGCTAGAAGAGCCTGAAGGAAACGAACAAGTCCCTCCTTTGGAAACTAACTTCACAGAACTAGATGAAGATTTGGAACAGCCGAAAAATCTTGACCCTCAACAAGAGTATGAGGTGAATATGGAATCTTTCCAAGAGTCTAAAAAAAATTCGGCTGACATAGTAGAAGAATATCGAAAAATGTTTGCCGACATACAAAAGACTCCAACACCAGATGAAAATATTCAGCATAGAATGGAAGTACTGAAAGAAAATGTACACAAATACAACAACCCTTTTACTTACGACCATATAACGTTCAATCTTTGGCTGAACTCGGTGAAAATAAAAGGTTAAATTTCAACAAAACATATAGAAATGAAACATTGTTTAAAGTTCATTCAGAACCTAACCAATATGGAAACAAACCTACTTTTGTTTCTGCAGACTATGGAACTACAATGAGATGGGGTCATAAAGCAAATCCGGATAGGTGGTTCATAAACTTACAACCACAATTCCAAGAAGTTGTAGACGCAATGGAAGTCAATGGTGAACCAGATATAGCTGGTATTTTCAGCGCGGCTTTAATGCCATTGAAAGATATGAAAGATGCAGATATTTTGGACCAGTATGAAATGAACATGGCTGATGGAAATATAACACCTGACGTTCTAAAACATTTATCTCAAAGAACTACACAGAACCATAGAGATGGTATATTTGGTGAAGAGTTTAGAAAGAAAGTTAGGGAGACAGAAGGAAGAGAACCTATTGTACATGACCTTGCAAACGAAAGTTTGCAAAATGTCATAAAAACTTACTTTGCAGACAATGAAATGAGAAGGGATGAATATTTAAGAAAACTCAAATGGACAGTACCAAATGAAATGTTAGTATTGAAAAACATGTTCCTTGACAAAATAAAACCAACTACAGAAATAAATGACGCAAGACTGAAACATTGGGTAAAAGCTTTCCCATTCACAAAAGATATTGTTGGTAACATGGAAAGAAAACCAGATTGGCTACAAAAACATATATTTGGAAACGAGCTTATTCCATATGGACAAGCTCTGTTTGAAGAGCTTGAACCGGAAACTCAGGAAAGAGTCATGCAAACAATACGTGAAGACTCAAATACAAACTATGACAAACTCTTTCTAGGATATAGGGTACCTGAGATGGGCGACCAGAGCCCAAAGGCAAAAAGGACATGGGAAATTTACAACATACTAGGTGAACATGAGGCAAAGATGCAACAACTTGAAGCAGAGGGCAAGTTACCAAAGAAGAAGAGAAGAGTAGAACAAAGTGAAAGTAGTGAAGAAGTAACTTCATCTAGTGAAAGTAGTGGCAATGAAGGAAAAAGAAGAGTTAAAAACTCAGCCAGGAAGAAAGTAAAGCGTGGTCCACGTGGGTTCTATTATGACATATAAATCCAACTATTCTATATTTTTACCCATATGAAATGTACGCCGCTCAGAATATAACGCCAACAGTTTTGGATGCCATGAACGGAAACGTTTTCCGAATGGTATAACGAATGCGACAATGCCATTAGAAGGTCAGAAATAGTTCCTGGAACTTACGAATATACAACTGCTGTTTCTTATGGAAACGTAGGTGAGTTTGGAGAAGGTTCTTCAACAACAGTAGATATTGCATGCGACAGGTTTCACATTATTTCTATTGACAACTCATTCTTATACGTGGAACAAGACATTGAAATAAAACCTTCTGCCAGGTTGTCTGACAAGAAAGGTTGCAATGGAATTTTCTATGTCGGATACCAATATGCTCCAGAAGTTTTCATGGGATATAAGATATATTCTAACTCTGACTTAGTTCAAACAGTAACATGGGCAAACTATGAATGGTTCGCTTTGAGAAACTCAGTACAACCACAAGCTAGAGAACAAACAGACCAGTATGCAACATTGAGAAAATAAGAAGACTTGACCCTAACGTTCCAGGAGTTTTATGTTAACCTTTCTGGACAAACTGCAGCAGCAGTAACCAAAGTAAAACTGAAACTTAGAGTTCCTTTGTCATCTTTCCTCATCTTCAGGTTTTTAAGATACTTGCCAAACTGGGCAGGAAAAATTTCTATCGAACTTACTCCAAGCAAAAATAACTTAGTCATTGCACCAACACAAGACCCATTCACTCTTACAGAAGTAGTGGGAACAAATAAAATGTCATTCGCCGACTTTTGCAAAACAAAGTTGACTTAGACTTTGGTTTCTCAAACCTCAACACTGAAGT